TAGTGTCTTTACAGGTCCAGAATATCCCCGTCTGACCCCAACATTTTGTGTTGTATTGTATGGTATCGCAATAGTACGGCACGGCACAGTACTCTTTGGGGTGGGAAGGAGTGAATGCTAATTCCTGGCTCCCTTGTCATTGATAGTTTGAGGGAGAGAGGAGGGAGAGAGTAGGAGGGGAGGGGGCGGGAAGGGAAAGAGAGAAGTTACATGTCATGTCTGTTATGCACAAGAGCTACCAACTAACATTTCTATCAGCGTTATCGTGACTATCATTACCATCATTCTTACATGCTGTAAGTCCGCACATCTCGCCCCCCCCACCTCCTGATCGTCTCAAAAAAAAAGAAATCACTATATCCCGCAATTCACCTAAAGGTCTCACGGCACCACACATACCTGAATAGTTATTCCATTCTAAATCGACCCCCCAGTCTCAGCACGCGGCCTCATGCCGTCTGGGGTAAAAGTCCAACCCCGCCCTTCCGTGGGCGTCATTGCGCGTCTTCTATCATCGACGGGACTCCATTCCATGCCTGGAGCGGGAAGGCCCGCAATCGCAGCATCATCTCTTGCTCTTTGTCTGTTTTCCACTGCTGTCCCAGCAGCAAAAGTACTGTCCTCCTCCGTATCTGTAACTAGCCTTACCAGTCCTTTCCCTCTTGTCGCCATTCCCTTACCCGTCCTTGATCCTTCCTTCTCCTTCTCCCTTTCCCTTTCCCTCTCCTCTCTTCTCCCCTTTTCCTCTGCAACAGCAACCCTCTTCCCCTCTGCCCTCACCTTCTCCCTCTCAATGATCAACCCCTTGAAATAACTCTCCGCCGCGCTGGTAGCACTATAATGCACAGGCGTCCAACTCGCCCAATTCATCGCCAGCGGCTCCGCCCCATAACTCAGCAGCATGCGCAGTGCCTTCAGCTCCCCGGCTGCAGAAGCGTGGTGCAGCGCCGTGTTTCCGTCGTTGTCGGCCGTGGTGAGGATCGAGGGTTGCAGCAGGATCAGCGTGGGCATCAGATGCAGGGTCCCGGAGCCGGAGGCTGCAGCGAGCATCAGCGCGTCTTGGCCGCGGTTGTTACGGAGGGGGATGGAGTGGGGGAATTTGCGGGCCAAGAGGACGCCAGTTTCTTCACGGCCCGAGGCACAGGCGAGCATGAGGGGGGTGTAGGCGTCGTTGTTGAGGGAGATGAGGTCGCTGTCATGAGAGAGGGAGATGAGGAATTCCTGGTGTAATTGAAGAGGGTTAGGCTTGGTCTGCGCGGATATGAGTGGGGGACGGATGGAAGGGGCGACGTACAACGATGGCGGTGAAACCACATTTTGCGGCGAGGTGGAGGCTGGTGTTGCTTTTGTCTTGGTAGTCCGGATTGCGCAGGTAGGTCGGGTTGTTGCGCAGTATCCTCTTGACAAGCGGGAGGTCGTTGAGGAGGATGGCGCGGCGGAGACGCCGAGGTACGTCAATCCTAGTGTGGCTTCAGTCAGTTGTGCTGCTCATAGTACACGCCTTCTGATAAGAAACATGAGATCTCTGTCATACATGGCGATAAAGGCTCTAGCATGGTTGAGCAAATATGAAACTCAGAACCGTCAAAGATGTGCTCGTTGTTCTTCGTCTGTTGTTGCTCAGGTGAGGTCAACGCGAATGCGGGGAGCTGGTTTAAGCTGCGGAGGCTAATTCACGGAAATTACTAGATTGGGCTAGAACTCGCGTGCGATGTGTACAAGGATATGCGTCCTTTGAACTCTCTCATACACGTGCAGTCCTGGCGCATGATTTTCACCAAAGAAATGCGGCGTCACCGAATACATGATCCCAGCTTGGCCGGCTTGTTTCTTGTTTATTCATACATCATTTAAGATGGTTTTACGCTACCCTATGCATATGTCCAAGACTGCAAGCCTGTGACGGCCGCGTCCCACTACCCGTCCATGTCTCTACAGACCATCAAACTCTCCGCCCGCATCGTCATCATCGATATCACCCTCCTGGATCTCCTTGGCCAGCTCCCGCTCCCGCTCACGAGCATCCTGCGCGTTCTTCAACTCCAAACGGTGCTGGTTCATCGGGTATCGCATCGCCTTGACGCACTCGTCGTGGAGGGTTAAGCAAGCACGAATGCGCTCGTGGAATGCCTCACCAGGCTCGCGGGTCGCGTAGATGTCTCCAGCCACCTTGGTCTGCATAAAGCCCTTTTCGTGGTCGATCGAGGCCTCTATTACCCCGTCACGGATAGCCTTGGCTACAATATACTCGGCCGACTCCTCGCTCTCGAGACCCAAGCGGATGCAAATGTCGCGCAGAGAAATGCGCGAGTAAGAAAGCGACAGCATGCGGATGCCTGTCTTGATGACGTTCTGTCGTAGACGGAGGATGAGCGTGTACGTGCCGTCGCGCTGGAAAGTGGCCGACGAAGACTGAACAACCTTGAGGAACCCCTGCAAATCACCTACACGAACTGCCTGAACTAGGCGGAAGTATGGCTCGAGAGCGCGCTCGAGGCGCGGCTGGCTGAAGACGTCACGTTCGGGAATATCACCCATGAGGAGCTCGACAACAATCAACAGCTTCATCGAGGCCTGGTAAAAGCCTGTCGCAACATGTGCCGAGGGCGATTTGCGCGTAGCACTAACAAGGTGCTCGTGTGCCTCGGTGTAGGACAGCTGAATAGCCCTTATGCGACCCAGATAGAACAGATACCTGGCAACCTGGTTGTTGGGGGCATTGGAGGGGAATTGTGTCTGGGCGACCAGGAGATCGGCTTGTGTGATGTCGGCAGTGGAGATGTAGTTTCGAAGGAGCAGTGTCGTAACGGACGCTTGGGTATCAGTATCTTTGCGCAGAACAGCACTTCGCAGAGCTGCGAGTAGCTTGCCGCGAAGGCTGATGACAGGAGACTGCTTGGATGGAGGCTTCGGGTCCATTTCCTCGTGGAAAAGGGCGTAGTAGAAGTAGGCCTTGGCCGCGAGCGAGTCCAACGTCCGCCTATTCAGTTCTCGGATCTTGTCCACCAGCTTTTCTGAGAATTCGGCGCCCTCTTCATATTCCTTGGTATCGAACAGAAAGACCTGCTAAATTAGACACTGGATAACTCTGCCACTGCATTGCGGACAAACGTACCTGAATCAGGATGGCTATGTAAACATCGATCTCGGGCAGGGGCTCCTTGGCGTTGTTCTTGTTAAGTTGGACCTCCTCTTTGTACTGCGAGACAACGCTCTGGATCGCCTCGCCATCCATGCCAATGTACTCGATGAAGGTGCGGGCTGTGGCGTTGTTGGGCGAGTATGTCAGGATGATGACGGAGCATAGTACGCGGTCGGTGAGCCTCTTGCGCAGGGACGATATTGAGCGCAGGGCACGAAGAGTGAAGCGTGTGTCAAACTGGGCCACGGCACGCTCTAGCAGGATGAAGTTGCTGCGAATGTCTATGGTTGTCGGGTCAGCACGCTGGTCCAGATACTTGCACGAGGCCATGTCGGTGGCAATCATGTGATTGAGGCACATCTTGCGGTCCGATGAGGATGCGATGCAGTTGTTGCAGGGGCATTTCGAGGTGAAAGGCATAGTCCACGCGCCGAGGTGGGCTACCTGTGAGTATACATACCAGCAATGGCCGTCTGTTCGACGTTCTCGGTTTTGGGCTGCTCGCCCTCGGTGACGACGCCTTCCATGCTGTCCGCCATGGTGATCGCTCCTATCGTGTCTACGGGCAGAAAAGGAAGGCGGGCAGGGAGTTGAGGGGGGTGAGGTTAGACAGGGCGGGATGAGGGTGGGTGTGTGGGTGCTTGTGGTGAGGCGGTACGTAGCTCCCTCTACTCTACAAGTCTAGGTGCTATGAGGCTCCCCAATCTCTTGGCGCGACCCTCTCCGTCCGTGCGCGTGGGACATTGTTTACCATACCGTCCCCACCCCTTCGCCCCCACGTCATGCTGCGTCTACGACTACACATGGTTCCATGTCCATGATGACGCTCCTCGATGCTCACCTCGAGCAGATTTCCTTTTGCGCCGCCTCAATTGCAGAGCTACCGTATGTTTACCAGTTTACTGGTATACACATGCACATCGGATCCCTATCTGATTATCTTCCAGATTCGCTCCACCAAAGATATTCACCAATGCCTTGCTACAAAATCACGACATCACCAGCCTGATTCGGGATACCGAACTGCATGAGCGTGCACTCTTCTCCGTCCCGCCGCCGCCAGCTGCACCAAAACACGCGGAGCCATCGGTAGCTGCAAACAGACGCAACACCATTTTCAACGCGAATGGCGCGGGAGCCAGTATATCAGGGGGAGGCGCAAATGCTGTGAGAGCGCCCAGAAGAAATACAGCCGTCGCAGCAGTGCTGGGCAATGATCTGGTCGAAAAGATACGGAGAGGAGGTGGAGGTGGAGCCGGGTCTGGCCTCGGCTACAGGACCTACGATGGGAACAACAAGAACGAGGTAGATGTCGAGTCACTGCTCGAAGGTGCTGAGAAGTTACTTGGGGTGTAGTATGTTCTGATGACTACATACACCATGCTCGTGACTGACAATCACAGTCCAATCCCAGGCGCCAAGGAGAAGATAGCAGCATTGCGCCAACGACACGCCCAAGTCGCAGCTTCCATCGATTACTACGAAGGCAAACTAGCAGAGCAAACCACGCAGCTGAGTCGCCTCAATCGCAACCGAGACTTTGTAGACGACGAACCAGACGACGTGGAAGCAGAGCCCCCCGTTGCAGCCCCCATGACCGACGAGGACCTAGCCAGGGAAGAAGAGGAAATGAAACAACTCGAGAGGAAGAAGAGAGAGCTGGAGAGCCGCGTACAGTCCATGTCACGGGATATATCAGGACTACGGTAATCATTCGACAATGAATCTTCCTGTGCGTTACAAAGATACCCCAATATGCAACTGATTCTCTCTTGCTCCGTCCCTTTCTCACATACAAGCCGGAATGGATGAAGAAGAATACAAGAGTACTCTTATAATTACTGGCTAGGTTGGTCATGGATGTGCAACTTGAACCGTCGCTGGATTTGGTGATGATGTCGAACTCCAGATCCTTCTTACTGTCATCGCCTGGACACACTTCTCATGAAGATATTATAGGACTAGATTAACAGCTCGTCTCAAGACATAGTATCGTTTGCATAATATAGGTACCAGTCACAAGTCCACAGAGTTCGAAACCGTACTTGCAGCCGAAACCTCGCTTCTTTCTCTCCAAATACAACTCCATCACGCCAACTCAAACCACCCAACCACCCATTCTCCTCTTCACAACCCAAGACACCAGCAACCTACCACACACACCTGCACCATCACACGCCCGCATGTTCATCTACAATTGGGCCTTCTGCATAGACGCCTGCTTAACATGAGCCTCACGTGCAGTCAGCTACAGATTCGACAGACTGTGACCGGAAACCAGCATCGTTTCCGCCTGCCAGTCTAATCAAACATAGTGAGCGATGTGAGTGTTTGGGATCGGCAAGGCAGAGAGACAAACGGTTGGTCTAATGATTGGCCAAGCACACGAGTCATGACGGAACAGTTCCGTGAATCCATTCCGAGTCTCGGAACGCTGACCCCACGTTGTTTACCCATGTACTTCACGCCCATCCCCCAGACGCGATTTGGTAGATACAACAACTTTCAGCTGTTGAAAATTGACATCGTCTCACTCAAGTCAACATGTCTGTCTCTAAGGTCGCACTCATAACGGCTAGCTCGGCGGGATTGGGGGCTCAGATTGCTCGCGCCTTTGCGCCTGACTTTCGTGTGGTATGTACATCCAATACGCATTGGACAATAATTGGCAAAAGTGCTCTATTAGACTCATTCAGAGAAGGTTGATAAGAGATAGGTCATCAACTATTCCTCAAACTCGGAACGCGCGCAGGAGCTCATCAAAGAGTTGTCCTCTATACCCGGCAGTTCCTCGGAAGCAACCCCTCGGTTCCACCTGGTCCAAGGCGACATGTCCTCGAAGACATCAGTACAAAGTCTGGTCAAGGAGACGATCGAGAAAATGGGCCGCTTGGATGTCGTCGTCTCAAATGCAGGCTGGACACGCATGACGACATTCACCGACATCGAGCAACAAGTCAACGACGACGACTGGGACAAGTGCTTCACCATGAACGTAAAAACACATCTTTGGCTCGCCTACACGGCAAAAGACGCATTAGCAGAGACAGAGGGTACTTTTATTTCTACGGCCAGTGTGGCTGGTGTCAAGCCCAGTGGCTCCAGTGTCCCATACGCCGTCACCAAAGCTGCGCAGATCCACCTCATGAAAAGCTTAGCTGTTATACTGGCGCCCAAGATCAGAGTGAATAGCATTAGCCCGGGCATGCTGTTGACAGAGTGGGGCCTCAAGTTTCCGGAGGCGAAGCGTACGGCGGCGATTAATAATACCAAGTTGAAGAGACTGGCAGTGGTGGAGGATGTGGCTGATCAAGTGCGGACGCTGGCGTTGAGTAAGAGTATAACCGGTCAGAATATCTGTATCGATGGTGGTTCTTCCTTGTAGATGTGGTTACTTAAATTATTTCATAACTCATTGCGTACACTTTGCTTCGTTTGAATTGGTCAATCAGCAACGCGTGTGGAGTCGGGGTTGACGAGGTCATACACGTGACACCGTGACGCACGCTAGGTAACCCTACGAGCAGTTACCTACTACCTGTTGTTCTAGTACACATTTATTTCTTGTCTTCTAACCTTTCCACCTTGTACGACTGTGACAATCTCTCTATCATGGCACTGCGCATCGGACAAGTACTCCGCGGTGCGAAGGGAACATATGAGTTGTCGCATTCACTCAAGGGTTCCACCGTGTTCAAAGCTAGACGGCTTCTAACTCCGTCTCAACCTGCGCAATGGTGAGATCTTGCTAAGAGACCTTGGAAAAGTACTAACCGCAAGTGATACAGGGCTATGATCAAGGGAGCCGAAACTGATATCGAGAGGCTATGTCTGAGACGCGAGTGGTATAATTACAGATTCAACGAGATTGCTACAAGCCCGTACATACGTGTGCTGCATGATACGATCTCCTTGAATGAAGACCAGAACAAACCATCATGCTTGGTATTCGAATGGATGGACGAGGACTTGACGTCAATCACGAAGCGCAGGTTTCGGAGCGACACAAAACTACTCAAGACTGTCTCCAAAGCCGTGTTATCGGCACTTGAAGTTCTTAAATATCTTAATGTCATGCACACAGGTTTGTGTATTCACCAGAGATTGTGTTCCTAATGTTTACACTGCGTAGATATCAACCCTAATAACATTTTCCTGTCGGACATAGACGGGCCTGCCCCAATCGTCAAAGTTGGAGATCTTGGTAATGGTAAGTAGGACTCTCTGTGAGAAAATTGGATGCACTCTTATATTCTTTTGGCAGCGATCATGGATAGCTCCACGAAACAGCGATGTCAAAGTCTACCTTGCAGAGCACCCGAAGTCTGGCAGGGTTCACCATGCCGTCACGCGTCCGACATATGGTCTTTGGGCGTCACCGTACGTTCTCATAACTCTCTCACAAAAATTATTCTGACCAAGTAGCTGACAACAAAATTATCACCACTGATGTTGTTTGGTGCAGCTGACCAACGTGTCGTTACACATACGGAAGCCTGGTGCATCGCGAAGATCATGCGACTAGTTGGTCCAATCAAACGCCCTACCGAATGTGAAGCCTACAAACAAGAATTTGAGCTCGCGGAACAGATTGCGCTGATGGATCACCCACTCGGACACATGAAGCTCATCTCGAGAGAACACTGGCGTCAAGAACTCGAGGACATCCCAGACCCACCTGTGTCTCCTGATCTACTCGACTTCATCGAAACACTACTTGTCATCGATCCCGACAAGAGACCAACGGCTACGGAAGCGTTGATGCATCCATACTTGAAGGCCTCTTTGGACGATTCGAAGATTTATGAAGGGTATGTGTCGGACAGTTCTATCACGCTCGGCAGTGATGAAAGCTGGACGGAGATGAGCTTCACTGAAGGCAAGGGAATGACGGCAAAAGTGAACAAAGTCGCTGTTTGACACGAACACTGCTTGTTGCTATCTAAGGCTCTTTCCTATGTACGGTGTCGGGTGCTATTAGGCAATTCCCCCATTCGATTGTATCGACAACCAGTTGCTAGACAAGATACAGTTATACATTGTTGATTTGTTTGCGTAAACAATGCACAAGTCTCATGAGTTATACTGCCTGATCTTCGACACAGTTTGCGAGCCCAAGCTGACGTGCTGAGTGCCGCTAACACAATCAAGAAATGCCATTGTGATTTGTGTGAAGAATGCTGCACATTGCAAACGAAGAAGGCTGTCAAACCATCTTTTGAACAATAACCAAATTACGATGCAAACTTACCGTCGCTATATATACATCGATGCTCTATCGCAAAGCCACCCCTTCCCATCTCCACTGATCAGAACGATAACCCAGCCAGACACATCAAGATCCTCACAACCACAAAATCCGACCCGCCTGCTCCCTTCCATACCATCTGTAAATCCACAGCCAATGCAACTAATAGGACAATTCCAAAAGTCAGTGCGCCTCCACAGCAAACAGGTGGTAGATATCCTAGTAGCCAGCCGAGTCCAACACCGCGGTGTCTGGCGTCCCATCGAAGCCATTGACCCAAAACTCCTCAGCGCTGCTGTGAATCAGGTCGAGGAGGTATTAGTGCATAAAAGCGTGCTTTCTCCCACAGAAGCTGAACGAGCGCAGAAAGTGTGGATTACGTTAGTGCGCACCAGTTCTGTACAACCGTAGCATTCGTTCTAATGATTAAAGGTCTTTGATGCATACGAGTGATAAGGATAAGCTCACACATTGTACTGTGGAAGTTGTAGATGGGAAAGACGTTGTTTACGCAAAGTTACATGTCACTGAAGACCCGGGGGAGCAGCAGGTAAGAAATCTTGGCCACTGTAGATTTGGATGGAATGTGTTTGCCAACGCCATGTAGGTAGCGCGTGGTACTAGACGCTGATGGGATTATAGAAGTAGACTTTGGTGATTCTGGCGTTTTGCTACCTACCTGGAGTAATCAGAGCATGTGGGATTCCTGTTAACGCACCGGGAGTAATAGTGTCATGGACAGTATACAGGATGTGCAAGAGGAGAGTGCTATGATAACCCTTTGTAGTCATCATAATGGGTTGTTATGGCGCCATAAGAGAATATTTTCTTGCTAGATCTTGGTCCTTGGAGAATCCAGCAGTTACCATTTTCCATGCAAGAGTTGGCTAGCTGAAAATAAAATTCCGTGCCTTCATTGCCGCGATTCTTGGAGCTTGCGTCGGTATATTTGTTTGTTTGGTCATGTAGTCTACATCATCGTCGCCAATCTTTTGGAGGTGTGAAGCCTACAGGCCCGTAATTTGTACTTTCCATTTGAACTCTGCAGATACAGTACTCAGTGCGAAGTCGTCTGACGAGATGTAAAGGTTTGTCTTCTATAGTAGGATGTAACATCAGACTATATGAAGAGGACTAGTTGTAAACATGATAATAGCTTCTAATACATGAATATCAAAAATATTCAAAGGCCTAGCTCGTCTGCAAACGTTCCCCTGCCGTCCTATTTACTCAACGCAGGGTGTACATGTTAGCCTGAGCATGCAGGTACAAAAGGTTATTGGTCTTGATGATGCCTGGCAGGCGTCGGCTAGGCTGGCTTAATTGCTTTTGCAATATATATGGAGGCCGACGCATGATGCAGATTGAATTCGTAGTGGTGAGATGGAGCTTCGTGGTCTTGCGAGGGTGATGCATCACACAATCATACATGCGAGACTGGCTGTGCGCAGAGGCCCGAGGTTTCCAAGTGATGCGGCTAGTCTGTCATTTTACGTCTCATGGGTTGAAAGACGGTGAGCATGTGCAAGCAGAGTACGTGGGGAGGAGAGATGGGATTCTACCTATTTGAAATGGAGAGAGTGGTGGAGAGGCAGCATCGAAGTTGACATGTATAAGGTCTCTGTACGCGCGCCATATCCTGCTGTCATCGATGATGCCGTCTAATATTTCCATCGAGCATAGATGTTGCTTCAATGTACTTGATTGAAGACAGTCAGGTCTCAGAGGTCATGATCAACCGTGAGCCGGCCATGATTCATGCGCTCCAAAAACCATACCTCTCATGTCCGACAACATTAGTCCTTCTTAAGGAAGTAGTCGAGGGCTAGCGCTTCCTTGGCTGTAGATCTCATTTCTGGGGTGACAACGAGGAGTGACTGGATGAAGTCGAGTACTGTCTTCGATATGTAGCAGTCGTCAGATTGTGCGTCATTGACTTTCTCTAGCTCCTGACGCCAGTTACTCAAAGGCAGGTACAAGCGGCCGTGTTCGTCACAATAGACCGACAGTTTCCTTCCGTATTTGAACTCTTTGGCATAGGAATGGCTCACTGGGTCCATGATTGGCCCAACAAGGCGAAACAGCCTTGCGATACACCATTCATTCCTCCCGGCATTGTGCTTGCCCAAATGGTTTCTGTCGCAGAAGAGATGGTATGTACATAGTGAATTTGCCAACTAGAAGATTCATCAGCCTTTTTCTTTTCTTCGAGTGAGACCATCCCTGGATGTGGATGCGTACCATGACTCCCAAACTCCAGACGTGCGAAACGTGTGTGCAGGGAAGGCCTCTCCAGACTTCCGGTGCTCGATAAGTAGGTCTCTGGCAACCCGAGTCTACTCCTTCCGAGTTAGATGCTAATAAGTTAGCGGTCGAGTTAGGGCTACAAGAACACACTACGAATCTCCAACGTACGTCGGAGAAGATTCGTAAGTTTTGCAATAGGCTTGTCGGTATCAATATTCGAAAGCAAGATTTTGGTTGGCCGAATTTCTAACTTTCTTAGTGATTTATACTTGAAGGGAACAAGGAACAAACCTATGTGTTCGGGGTTGGATGATTCCATCGCCTCTAGAACTAAGAGTGTAGATTTTGAAATGGCCCTTAGCAGGCTGGGATTTTTGAGGAATTCAGGCCCCCCTCGTATTAAACGACCCATGGCACGCTCCATCCACTCAAATACCAGACACAAGGGAGCAGCCTCAGGATCCTGCCCCTTCACCGTGTCTCGCAAGGATCGAATGTGTGGACTCAATTCACGAGACAGATTTTTGTGGAAGTCGTACTCCTGTTGAAGATTCTTCTTCTCAGAGTAAGTGAGGGCGGTCTTGACCACAGCCCTAGGATTGAAGTCAGCGACCGGTTTGAAATGATGCGCTGCGGCAGGAACTGACCACCTGTCCGACGCGAAATCGCCTTCGATGATCTCGGCTTTGAATACCGTGGAGCCTTTGAGCGGCTGTACTATTTGGTACATGCCTTTATCCCCCTCAATGTTCTGTCCGATTTCTAGACCCATTGTTGTAACTTGCTCGAGGAAATTAGGGGTTGTTGTGAGGGCGAAGGGGTTTAAATGGGGCTATTATTTGTGCCCGAAGACTATTCTCGCAAGAGAGCATGAGCCAGAGGGTATGAGCCAGAGGGTATGAGCCAGAGGGTATGAGCCAGAGGGTATGAGCAACAGACTATCAGGAACACGGTATGAGCAACACGGTATGAGCAACACGGTATGAGCAACATGCTATAAGCAAAACCCCTTACCACACCCCTCCCACCATCCCTCCGCCACAAAGAACCCCTACCAGCACCCCAAAACCCCCCCAGCCATAAACCTCCCTAACCCGCGCGTATGAACAGAACACCCCCAAGTCGCAAATATCATCGGCCTAGACTGGACATCTTTTCATGCATTTCCCACTGAATCGTACCGCAGTATGGTATGGTATGGTAGAGTACAGTACAGTACAGTACCGTACAATAAACTACATCTCTCCCACAACCAAGTCCTCGCGATGAGAGTCATCTTTTACAACACGATACCACGACTTGGTGGGAATAAATGGCATACACAGGATTCTGCAGGACCATGAATCAACCTTACCAAACCCCCACACCCCCATAATAATCTTCCTCTCAGAGGAGTGCGTGCAACGCTGGAGAATCAAAGGAAACCCCCAAAAAAATAAATCCCAGAAAATCAAGAGGAATCAAGGAGAATCAATAAACAAAGATGGATACATCCCATCGTAATACAGTACATACGTACAAAGTTGGGCCGTGGTGAGAAATTGCAAGGTTTTACCATGTACGTCGTTTGTTAGACGGGGTTTGGCTTTGGTATATTGTATTGTATTATATGATACGGTTGTTATGGCATGGGATGGTATACCAAAATATTAATATTCGATAACTAATATTATGCTAGACTTGAGAAAAGTAGGGCAAAGTAAAGGACAATCAGCATCCTAGCTCAAGTGTGCACGTGCGTGTGTAACAAACAGCAAGTACTTCAACAACCAAGTCTCCTTGTGAAATCCCACAAAAAACACGACGCGAGAGAGAGAGAGAGACAAAGGAAAGAGAAAAAGAACGAAGAAATCAAGTCAAAGTGAGGGATTAAAAACTTCATCTTTTTTTTTGCTAGAGTACTCTCTTCCTCTTCAATTGTCCTCTGCTCTACTCTTCTATCTTCCTCTTCATCCCTCAAACTATCTGCACAGCATAGCGCATTCTGCATCCCACCAGGCGGACAAAACTCGACTCGGCTTCCCACCTCCTTGTGCCAACAGCTTCATTCATTGTAACCTCCCAACCCCTCCTATCCCCTCACACACACAACTCAGAACATAGATCGCGCTCACTCCTCGATACCACACACACACCCCATTCGCGACTTCCTCACCAGTCGTCCCATCCATCGCTCGCACCAGGCCAGCATCGCTTATACCAAGTTAATTACAACGCTGTACATGCCCAAAAAGGCCCCCTGCTCTCCATCTCAAGGAGGAAGGGAAATAAACAAGGTAGGGAAAAAAGGAAGAAATGACACAAGATTTCGTAAACGCGGGGCCCATTTTCCCCGTCGCTGCGCTATAGATTCGCCAATAGAGGTTCTCCGGATAAAATAATAATAGAAAAAGACGATAATTTATTCCGGAGTCGGTGGACAAAAAGGAGAGACAGACGACCGCCATGGTGTGAGGATATAACGATTAAGGAAAGAAATTCTACGCCACGCCTTTTTTCACTGCACATGAGCTATTTTTTTTCGCTCACTTAGTATGCATAGCCGCCTTTATTGTCTGGATGATGCACCCCTGGCTGCCATGGCGCACCACCCACCACTGGTCCGTAGCCCGGCGGCTGCGTGTATCCATAGTCCACATCGTCTCGGTCGCGACTTGGACTTCGCTCGTGAGTCGGAGCTCGCCCGAATGTACTCGCATCTGCAAGCAAATGGCCTTGGTCATCGGAGAATTGGCGCCCCCCTGGGCCGTTGTAGGCCGTGTGTTGTTCGGCCAGGGGCACGCGGTCGTAGCCTGCCAAACGGGGGCCAAAGGACGGCGGCAGTGAAGAGCGCTTGTACTCTTGAGGATCCATGAGCAGGGAGTTGCGGGCATCGAGGGGAGTGAGGGTGTCAAGGTCACGTGCTTTTTCTGTGAAGGAGTTAGCTTCGTGTTCCGACTCAAGGAGAATACAGGCTGATAACTTACCCGCTTCCTTGCGCTTCTTGCGGTGAGGGTTCTCTTTGCAGCAAATGATGATGGCGTTGACGGCAATGAGAATGGCCAGGACACCGGTCAACGAGGCTTGAACAACGACGAGGACGAGGCCGGTGACAGTCTTGGTCGTCTGCGTCATGCCCAGCTCCTCGACAAAGATCAAAATGCAAATAACCGACAACACACGCACAACCTGGATGGTGATGTTGATGACGTTACCCGACTTGAGCGAGTACGGACGGGCCCAAAGCAGGGTAATCAGCAACAGGGCTTCGACGATGAGCTGGCCTGCTGCCTGAGCCAGACCATGTCCATTGGCACCCGCAATGACGCAACCACGAGCAAACATGTAGACGATGGCTGGGACGAAGATCCACCAGTAGTTCTTCTTGTAGTTTTCGTAGAAGATGCTGTACTTGCGCCAGACCTCCTTGTTGTCGTACAGCGCATCAGGCTTGCCTTCCATCTTCTTGAACTTGTTGGCCGTGCTCCAAATCTTCCAGGTGAAGAAGGCGAGGACGCCAGTGAAGGCGGCCAGGGTCACACCTGCCAGTGTCTTTGCACCCCACGAGTCTCCATTCTTGAATTGATAGACACAGTACAACACCCAGATACCGTAAAGCAAAAGGATCAAGTTGGTGATGGTCTTGGCCAGAGTCCACCAGTAACGCTTGCGGAAACTCGTCAGTCGCTTGGGGAAGGAACCGAACAGAGCCCAGGTCTCGAGGATGACCTTGAACAAGAGGATGCCAACTGTGATGGCAGCAATGACAATGGCGAAGATGAGAAGAACCGTCATGAAGGCGTTGCCGTTGGGGACGGTGTACTCCTCGACAAAGCCTTGGATGCCCTTGACTTGGTGGAGAAACTTGCTGTCGCCTTCGGTGCCGTTTGTGTTCTCACTCGCATCCACGGCCAACTCGTCGCGAGCCCAGAGGAAGGTGTCAACGGCGCGCTTCGCTAGGGTCATGTTTTGGTCTACATGCACGAGGGTAGCGTTTTTGAGAAAGGGAACGCTGTTTTCGGTTAGGTTGCCACCAGTCTTTTCACGGAAACTGTCAATCGAGGTTTGCATGTCTTCCCAGTAGATGATGCCGGTGCTAAAGGCAAAATTCTTGGTCCAGCTGCGGTAGACACCTGGAGCGTCTGCGCTCATCATGCCATTCAAAGCCATGCTCTGGAACCATCCAATGATGTCGCCAAAGGTAGGACTGGAGCTGGGCGCACCGGCATGACCAGCACCTATGAGCGATGCCAAACCGGTGACGACCAGAGCGGCACCTGCAATGCCGACGGCAATGTATTGTACGCCTACCGTGGAGAGTGACTGTCCGTTGCTGACTTGCGATGTGATACAGGCCAAGTCTTGGCCGCCCTCCTTTGCTGTAAGTTTCATGGTTGCCTGGCTGTCAATATCGGGTATGTTGAAGGCGATGGCGGGAATGGCGGACATGTATTGATCGGGAACGGTCTGCTCTCCTCTTGCTCCAAAGGTGCCAGCGGGTACTGCAAATCGTCAGTAGGCGTGACGGGGGCGGGAGTTGGGCAAGGAAGAACCACTCACCCGGACACATCTCGTCCACCCTGGTGGAGTTGTCGCAGGGATCAAATTCCTTCTTGTACACCTCTCTACCATATGCATTCACAATCAGCGTCGCCATGATCTTTTGCTCCTTCTCGTTGGTGCCCGATACATCAAAGACGACCTTTTTTGTGGATTTGTCGAAAGTAATGTCCAGCTTGTGGACCTTGATGTCTGGTGTGCCCGACAGACACGAACTGTATCCATTGGTCTTGAGGACGTCGCCGGCTAGTACGCCTAGCGGGGCCGAGGCCAGTAGTATGAAGGGCGCAAGCATGGCGGAATATGTCGTGTGTGGTCGCATGCCTATTAGACAGACGTCGCCCCCTCGTGGGCCGTGGTGCTGGGTGGAAAGGTGCGATGTACTTGGTTATGCGGCAGGAGAGGCGTGCTGCCAATGGAAGCGAGTGTGTGGGTAAGGAGATGGAGGTGTAGGTGCTAGGCAAGGTTACAGGCTACCTATAGATAGTCGCGATGTATGTGTCTAGCAGCGCCGCCTCTGTGGCTAGAGAATGCACGAGTGATGATGATGGTCGGGCCGCGGGTTCAAAGTTTGGTCGAGCGTAGCAAGATCGACGCTTGGAAAGGGTGCGGCCAAAGTCAGTGCAGAGAACGAGGCGAGGAAAATCTCTTGGGATGCAGCCAACAACGGCCAATGAGTGCCCAGATGGAAAGGTGGGAGGAGATATGGAGGGGGAAAAGACAAGATGGCTGGACACGAGAGCTGGAAACAATGGGACAACAACAGCAACAACAGCAACAAGCGAAAGACTGAGGGTGGCAGCGAGCGGGATTGAATGGAGTGTGTTGGTAGATTGTGTCTGGCGACAAAAGATGGGACGGGAAGGAGAAGCTGGTTGTGAAACTGGTGGCCGTGTCGGCATGGGACAAGTTGGTGCGGTGCCTAGGGGGGGTCTCTCCCGACGAATGGGGAAGCGACGCGCGGCGCTAGTTAGACGAGAGGGCAGCAGCGACCCACTTATGGCGCAGCAAATGGGCATGAGGAGGCGATTTGGCCAAAGGGGGGGGGGGGGGAAGACAAGGGCAAAAGGGCTCACAGGCTTGGAGGGCTTTGCCTGTCGAGGTGTCGAGGCCGTTCGAGAACATGGGAGCGACGCAGGTCCCCTTGGAGCGAGAGTAACCGGCACTGTAGATTCACAACAAAGAGCCGAGTGCTGGTAGGGTTGGTACTGCACAAGAGCAAGTATGTACATCCATCCCATCATCATCAACTCATACGCGCGCTGGCTGCCCGTACAGCCATCTGGGCGCTCCTAGCGAGAATAGGTCGAGGAACAGAAAAACTCGACCAATATTCTAGTACAGTACAGTACCGACAGCCCAAACAAACATGACACATGACATGCCACCAAACCCGCCAACACCAGCCCGCACAAGCTGGAAAAAACACAGAGAAGAGAAAGCTCCCCTTGCCGCCCCCACACAGCAGACCACACCACTTGTGGCTGAGTGAGCCCTCCCAACGGCGCAAAGCACAGCCACTCTTTGCCCTTTTGCATGTTCCATCCCATCGCACAATCCGCTGTCTATCAAACCGCAACGCCTGGATGGTAGAAGCGCTATTTTGAGAGTGCATGGAGGACAACAGTAGAGTACAGTACAGTACAACTACAGTACAATGACAGTACCAAAGTGCCCCAACACCCATCCCATCCCATCCCATCCCATCCCATGCCCGCACAGACCCTCCAATCCACACTGCAGAACATTGGACTATTCACGCTAGCGTGGCCAGCCCGCGCCAAAACCCCTTCGAGCAAAGACGACCGTGGCTGTGCTCTAGCCCCGCCAAGCAACCACGCGCCACGGTTGCAAAAATAGACGTCTTTTCTTGGCGTGCCCGTCCTCGCTCAGCCAGCGTACCGGTCTTTTTCGAGCCAGGGTAAGAGAGTAACTAGCATTGTGTTGTGCCAGCCGCCGGTACTCGCGGTGTGTGTTGGGGGGAAAAATGCAAGCGAGGGAGAAAGTTTACGAGAAGAGGCTTGAAATAGTGAGGTACGTAGTTGTACAAGTATATACTGTTATATTGCCTCTTTGTTTTTTCCTCTTTAGTGTGGGGGTGAAGATTGCATGTTGGGCTTTCTGGCAATGGCAGCATCCATCCATTACCTATATAGCACAAACTCCTACTCCTAACCCCTAAACATACACAGCGAAATAAGATGACTCCCCGGAAACAACACTGAACCTAGCCAGAAACCCGTGTCCAAAGACTAGAAAATGATAGCTGTACAAAAGCTGCAAAAGATCAAATAGTGGAAATGAATACCTACTTACAAAAACAATAAATGCCTGCGCTGTGATGGATGGGAGCTGGGAGAGAAAGAGGCGCGAAGGAAGTCGGGGTATTGCAGACTCATTCGCATGCCCATCTCCATCTCCATCTCCCCTCCCCCCCCTCGACCCAAAGCAAACGCAAGAAAAGACAAAGAACGCCTTAACCCCCAAACAACCAGTTTCCAGCCAGAAGAAAGAAAAAAACTCGACGCCAGTCAAGTACCTGTGCCCTTCTCTGACCCTGCTGCCGTATTGCCGCTGACCTTTTCCTCGAGGTCGTCATTGCCATTATCATCATCATCATCATCATCATCACCCCCGTCATCATCGTCATCGTCTTCACACTCCCACTCGTCACCCAAATCCGCGTCCCCATCCTCACGACGCTGGCCCGTCTGGCCTTGGTCTTGTTCTATCCCCTCTTTATCCTGAAGCGCCCAGTTCATATCCAGCGTATCCGTGTTATCATTTTGCAGTCCGAGATTGACGACTTTGGTATTCGTCTCGCTCTCGGCCTGCGATGGAGAAGGAGAAGAAAAAGGAGAAGGCGATGTCATCTGGGGCTGCGTCTGCGTCTGCGTCTGCGTCTCTGACCATGATTCTCCCTTCTCCCCAAGCTCGCCTGAAAACTCAAAAATGTCGGGCCTCTCGCCGTCCCCACCATCCGGCTCCCAACCCTGCACATAAACGATCGTTGGCCTCGGCAACGCGACAGGAAGATCATGCAGCACCGACATCGTCGCTGCACTCACGCCCGACTCCAACCCTACACTCAACACCAGCTCCGGCGTGGGCATGGGCTGCGCAACAAGCGTAAGCCGTGCGGTGGATGTAGATGTAGGCGTCCTTGTCGGGCGGGGCCAGACAAATGTTGGCTTCAGGCTAGGAGAAGGTTTAGGACTCGGAGTTGGTCTGGGGCCGTTGGGTTTTGGCCAGGTGAAGCCGATGGGCCACGTGCCTCGTGCTGGGGATGTGGGTTGTGCGGGGATGAGGGAAGGCAATATGGAAGATGGTGTTTGGGCAGCTTCGAGGTTGACGTCTTGGAGAACCGGGACATTGGGGTTCATGGATTCGGAATCTGGGTTTGATGGCTCGGTGGATTGGGATTGGGTATCTTGAGGATCGACGGATTGTGGGTCCGTAGGTTCAGAGCTGATAGCTGAAGAATCAGAAGACTCTGACGGGGTGGACTGCTGCTCTGTAGCCTGTGGCTCCTGATCCAGCGAGTTTACTCTCTGCCACTCCGCACCGGGAACCACAGTCTCCACAGGCGCCATCTTCGGAGGCACCACATACTTCAACCCATCATTATGCGTATATTGCGGTCCCTCGAAATCTGGATCAATGTACTCAGGTCGCATACCATCTTCCATCCACTCATCATTATGCGTATACTCTGGCCCATCAAAATTCGGCTCAATATACAGAGGCCCCTCACCACCCTCCTTGCCATCATCCAGCGTCAAATTTGGATCCGGCATCGCATATGCAGAGTTCGCACTCATCATGGCCGCAGAGTAAGCGAGATACCACGTGCGACTCGCCCCACCATCAAGCTGCGTGTTGAATTCCGGGTCTGCGAAGAACTTGTATGATTTCTCGGGATCAATGAGCGCGAGGTTGGCGTAGAGAATGGCTTTCCAGCCACCGACAACTTGGTCGACGCGGCCATTGCTAAAGTACGTGTCCCACTCCTCTTGCACAAACTGTTTGGAACGGGTGTAGGCAGAAGATGGGTTGAGAGGAATCATGTGGATGCCCTCAATGTACTCTGTCTTTCCGCCAAAATAAGTCGTATGGTCAATCTTGTTCTCGAAAAGAATACCCGTAACCTTGTTTGGCACAAACTGCGGAGGCTGGTTCTTGTTGTCCGACGTCATGAGGAAGTAGTTTTTTAGACTGCGGGCTTGCAATGCGAGCTGCAAGTTACCCCGGGCTTCCATGTTGGGGTCGCGAGAGATTCTGCCCCACATCTTGAGGGCATAGGTGGCAAAAGTATCCTCCGAGGTGGACTCTTGGTCCTTTCCATCCCCTGATTCAAAGAGCCCTTTGGCCCAAGAGTGGCCGTGGAACCAGTCAAAGGATCGCTGGAAAGGATAGTAAGCATCGTTGACTGGGTTCGCATAATCACGGACAAGAGTATTGACCCAGTCTTTATTGATACCCTGATCGAGCCACGTCGGGTCAAGATGGCCAATGACCGCAGCAGTCCAGACAAAGTAGCCGTAGTGGAAGTGATGGTCGTTGTAAAGCGTGTTGCCAAAATCAAGCCCTGTGTCATAAGGCGGCTTGTACGTCGCGCTCGAGACAACGCCCTTCCAGACCTGATCATAGACAAGCGGCTCGGGTTGAGTGTTGTTGACAAATACGTTGAAAGCATCCTTGAGCCTGTCAAGTCCGGCTGCCGCATACTGGCTGTTCCCAGTCATGCTGTTCAGGGTGTAGATGACAGCAGCAAACTTAGCTAGCCCTTTACCGGAGTAATACATGCTGTTTAGTCTGGTCTGTGCATCAAAATCTTGACCAAGCTCTTTGATACCGGCCTGGTTGATCAGATTCAATGCCGCAGGTTGGAGGTTGATGTTGCCAGAACCACCAGGAGCGCCATTCGGATGTTTCGCCCAAGGCGCGAATGCGATCGAAACCGGAAGATCGTCTTCCACCATTGTGATCCTGTCGGCAAGTACCGCTGTCGCGTAACCTTTAGTGGTGGTCACGAGTGAGATGTTCTTCACTGCCGCTCTTGTTTCCTGGTCAAACGATTCTACGTGATGCGGCAGTGCGTACATTAACAAAGTCTGACTCTGGACTCCCCCTTTCGCCCAGGAGAGGCTATACTTTCCAACCTGGCCGCTCACAGAGGCAGATATTGTTGCGTTGATCGCGTAAGAACCTGCACTCATGTCGAAGACATCTTCCCCTTCCCAAGCGGAGGGGTTTTTCGTAACCTGTATCATACCTTGGAAGTTCCTTGGCCCCGTGATTGTGGAACTACTATCCAAAGTGAAGGGTGGCACACCTACGGATCCGATAGACGTAGCGTATAGAAGCCAGACTGAACCATCGTTGAGCGTCAGCCTGTACTTGTGGGCTATACCATTAACAACGGATATATAGTTCAGAGTGCGAAAGAAAACACCCGTGGTGATGACGGGCTGAGCTCTATCGTAAAGTGCTGTCACAAATCCCATACCCTGGACGCATGGAATTGACATGACTACGCGACTCCCTGCAGATGCAGCTAGATTGGCATAGGTTGAGAACGCTTGCAGGTTCTCTAGAGAAAGATGCGTGTCCCTCCCGAGCTCCGCAGCCGACAACACTAAATGATGGATACCAATTGGTGAAATAAAGTACTGTGGGCTATTGGGATTCGGGCCAAAAGCAAACTGTTCTCGCACGGTGTGCGTGACAGCCATGCCAAAAGAGCCGCCCACTCCTTTAGCCCAAGTCAAAGAATAGGGATGTGTCCAGACGGGAAAGCTTTGGCTACCAAGGAAGAAGTTTGCGTAGAACTTGTTGGTCTGAATGGGTACGTTCTCGTCGACAATATTTTGCTTCTTCACAATATGATCACTTCGAAATGGCAGTGAAGCTGCTGGCCCCGTAGTCGCTACTGGCTGAAAGATATTGTCTGAAGCTTGCCCTACTGATGCCGTTGGGCCTGGGTCTAGAGGTGTCTCGTTGGGACATAGCGGCTGGCCTACGGTAGTTGGAATGGGCCGGATGACAGGATCTTTGGTATTGACTCCGTTGGAAGGAAGGGCAGTCAAAATAGTCTGTGAGTATAAGTCAGTAATTTGTCATCTTCTCAGAACTGCCAATATATACGTACTCCTGTGAGCGACGGCTCTATCGTAACAGATATCGATTGTAGAGTCTCGATTGCTCTACTGTAACTCGTTGTAGCCAGGACATCTGTGGATATGGTGATTGCACGCTCGACGATATCACCTGGCTCACTCTTGAGCTCTCCAGCAGGCAGACTATGAGTAACAAAAATCTGAGACGCGACCAAGAAAAATCCAACCAGCTTTGCCATCTTTGCTGGTGGTGATGTCTGGTGTGAGAACGGCTGATAGGCGACGTGCAGCCTCGAGAAAGTCCAGACTGGCTTGCCTGCTTGCACGAGGCACAGGATTGTTGATCTGTGGCAGGAATGTACCGTGGAATGGATGGTTTCCCAGGTGAGGGACTGCATGATGCATCTCCACATTATATATGTAAGTTCAGCATTTTGATCACATCGACTTGTGGAGAGCCACTTCATGTGAGAAAAGCCAAACTTCATCTATTCAGGCAGGTCAGCCATGCTTTTGAGACATGAAGCTCACCTGTGGAAGACGATTGACAACGGCTGTACTAGTCAGGTTAGATTGCTGGAATGCAGGTACCATGCATGGGGTCACACAAAGTCCCTTTCAGGAGTGGGTCCCGTGTGGTACGGCTGTCCCGGGGTCCAACCTCTTGGTCCTCTGAGTACTCTGTTCCGTCGCCGTGAGCCGCTAAATTGAGCCTCTTCTGAGAACGCAATAGGCAATATACCCTCTATCGACGTCTATACAATGATCATGGGAGATTGTGAAGATTAGGCGATCAAAAGGAGTCCACAACCAAGGGTCGAGTTTACTAGTACTTCAATTCCATGTCCATTTTCCAGAGGATGCCGAGCCCTGAAAATCCTTGTACATTTCGTACCTAGCTCTTTTTCATCGAGTTCCCATGCCAGCCAAGACGTGAAGAGAGCGAGATGATTTATGGGGCAATGATCGCAACAAGACGAGTCGTCATCTATCGATGACAGTAACAAGCGCAAGGGAGGCAAGCCTCATGAACAAGCCATGCGACTGCTTGAAGAAGGAGCCGCTTCCAGTGTTTCAAAAATGACCATGGTCGTTGTCGGGCTTCTCAGCCGAAGATCGCCTTGCGCAACTTTTGCATAGAGTATTGAGAGACAACCGAACTAAAAGCCAGTCTTGGAAAGAGTGAGGATGAAGGCGATGTTACCAGTTGAAGCCGCTCTCGGAGAAATAGATTCACATAGTGCGAATGAGTGAGGCTGTCAGCCTGGTGCAAGCCGAGAGCACTCAAGTGAGGTCGAGGGCATCACCAGCAGGAAGTCGGGCGTGCAAGTTCGGTGCACAAGATGTGGAACTACCGAAACCAGCACCGAGGTCTCGGATAGTGATCGCGAGACCTGAAGCTGACATGCGCCTCTTCACCACTGCAGAGGAAAATGCTGTGTGACAGGTAGGACATGCCCTCACTCAAAGTGGAAGGGGAAGACCCAGGTGAATGCAAAGACGTCAGCAAGCAGCACGACAGGTGTCTATACATACTCCAGACCGAGAGCTTGGTAGGCGGAAGTAAAGATCGCTCAAGATACGCGGTAAGAAAGAAGGAGGTGGTAACGTGACGATGACCATATGCGGAGAGTCGGAGGTCTGTTCACGCTGGTGGGCTGAACAGGCTTAGCGTGATTCTGACGTCACTATGGTCAGTGAGCATTCACGACAGCAACAGAAGCCCATGCTGTTCAAGACCCTAGCAACCCCTTACTTTTAGCTACAAGAACAAACACCTTGGAGATCTCTCTTTACAAAGATCAAGTCCCTCTTACTAGTCATAAAGCCAAAAGTCTACAATGGCAATATCACACCACTCCGAGGAGCCACCTCCCAGCTATGAAGCCGCTACAGCATCGTCTTCGGACCCCTCACCTGGTATTCGACGTGTGTCGACTGACGGCCCAGCTGCCCGCCTAGAACGCAATGGCATTGCACCTGAACGACGCCGATCCATGGAAGATGAGCTTCGCGAGCTGCCTCCTGGCTGGGTCCGTTCCTTTGATCCAGAGTCGCAACATCAGTTCTTCGTTGACACACGAGCCAATCCCCCACGTAGCATCTGGGTACACCCATACGATGATGATGAATTCCTGAACACGTTGGGCCCAGAGGAGCGGAGCCGGCACACTAGGATGCGCAGGACGATGACGCTCGAGGATCTCGCGGCGGAGGATTCAGACGACGACCACAACGATGCACAGCTTCCTCCAAGGCCAGATGCGCGAAGCAAGGCGCCGGCCACTGGGGAGCCAGCCGCAAGGGGCCTCTCTGGCTTCTCCCGCCGACTCAAGGACAAGATCACCGGACAGACTCATGAAGAGCGGGCACAGGCTCGTGCTCGACGTGCAGAGGCGGAGAAGCAAGCCTATCTTGCACATATGCGTGCACGACAGGCGATGATCCGCGCCATTGAGACTGGAGAACCACAGTTGCTGGGTAAAGATCGTCAGGGCAGGGACGTCTATATCGAGCCTCCGCATGGACCCTACGCACAGAGGCCTGCGTACGGCTACAGCCCTTATACCAGCAATCCCTATCGGAATCCCAACATGCGATACATGCGACCGGCGGCTCCCTATGGAAGGCCATATGGATACGGTTATGGTGGAGGTGCAGGGCTTCCGATTGCTGCCGGTGTGCTGGGCGGTGCTTTGCTTGGGACCGCGCTGTTCTAGCTGCCTTGCTCTTGTTCAGGCTTTCCTCGATTGACGCAGGGTGACAGTCTGGGCTTCTTTGAGATATCCTCCTATACATCTGGTGGTGGGTAGTGACGAGTAAACAAAATAGCCTATGTGTATCTGTATCCTGCATGCACCATCTACCTACACAAACAACGATCCAAAGTTCTGTGTCATTGCCCCCAGGCCACATGTCTCCTCCCATCCGTCAAGATCAGCATGGCCGGAACAAACATACCCCGCATTGCCCCTCTCCTCTCCTCTCTCTCTCCCCCTTCTCCCCCACCCCTCCGCGTGAAATGACGGAGCCTTTACTTGAGACCGATTGGATTTCTCACGCTCCTCCAGCCACCTTTGATGGCGGCCCGCAGACCTGGCCAAGCCTAGCCTCCATTCGCCAGCCTGATTCCCCCTCCCCCACTGACGCAAGAAAGCAGGCACACGCCCACTGTCGACCGAGCGCTTGCATGCTTACCGGTACATGTGAGATGTGAGCGCGTTGGTCTGTACTCTACTCTTCACTTCCCAACCATTACCAGCATCCTTTTCGAATAGTCTGTTTCTTGCGCTTCTTGTCGCGACACGTCTGTCAAGGTCTTCAGCTTTGTCTCTGCTGCCCTGCGTGCAATTGTTTGGATCGCAGCATTCGTCTGCTTACGACAGGGTTTGCAACTACGTCACTATCGCAAATTCAATCCTAATCGCTGGAAACGGACAATATGGGTGTCGCGAATCTTCTCCCTTTGGTGATTCTATTCGCTGTGGTCGGAGGTTTGGGCTGGGTTGGCTATCAGGTTTGCCTTGCCCCTTTTACACAACTCTCCCCTGTCATGATCGTACTGTGGTCGCATCGCATCGCATCGCATCGCATCGCATTGCACACAATGCGCCCTCCTCCATTCCGCAACGCTTCCAGGGCGGGCTAACCCACACTTCCGACCACCAGATCTTTCTCTACTCCAACGAGCTAGCCGAGCGCGGCGTCAAGAAGATGGAAAAGAAGAATGTCGTGTTTACAAAGGATGGAGCGCGTGTGGGTGTCAAGGAGGTTACCGCAGAGGAGTATGCGGATAAGACGCAAAAGGCGTTTGTGAACACGTGGAATGCGGCGCATGACGGGTATGTTCTCTTATATCCTACCAATGGCTCTGGGAGCGGTACAATTGAGGGGTCGACCATGTTGACTGACTTGTGTTTGTTGCGCAGTGGCGAATCGGTACGAGAGCGAGGAAGATGAGGACGAGGAGGAGGGCAGACGCGGTTATGGCTGTGGAGGAATATAACATTGCATATTCATACATGGTTCCAGGGCTGGGTTTTCAGGGGCTGGTGGCGATGGAGAAGTTGCATTTTGACTTGCCTTTTATCGACTATTGCATCAAACATAACACGATCAAAGTACCTGGACTGGAACTCACATTACAGAGTACAGCTATCTGTGCAGAGATCAATGTTTTTTATATGATAAGCATCTTGGCAAGGCTTGAAATAACCAGTGTAGAGGCAGTGAGGCATCGTACTTTCGAGTATGGCGTATAGTAGCAACCTCGTTGCTAGACATGAGTCTGCCTCGGGCGCGACGAGATACCCCGTAAGAAGTATTAAAGAGTTGTTGAGTTAAAACTCTGCCTGCTGGACCTTGCCGGGCTGAAGGCTCACTGGCCGTCGGCACACGTCCTCACCAGCCATCTGGCGATGAATGACTTGGTATCATTACAATCTCTTCCCATGGAGTACTGAGCGACTGGGCATCTTCCATGTTTGGTCACACATGATTCACTTTCCTACCGAATCGCATCCAGGCCATTTACAATGCGTGGCTCGATTCCAAGTGCCGTTCCTCCGGTTCCTTTCGCGCTTACCCAGAGTCACGACGCAGATTGTTGGCAGCATAATGACGAGTTTGATTCCGTACGTACCATGTACCAACATCCTATAGTTGTGTTCACTTTAGCCTGATCATTGCAAAGATCATAGTGGGAGGAAGCACCGCAGGCCTGGTGCTAGCAACTCGACTCAGCGAGGCTTTACCTAGACATTGTATCGCTGTGATGGAGTCAGGATCAGATGGGTGTAACGAGTCGAAGATCTATATCCCGGGCCTCCGAGGGTTCGCGTTTGGGTATACATATGATTGGAGCCTGCCAATGGTGCCGCAGTTGCACATGTGGCCGGGCCTATATAGATCGCTCTTGCTGAGAATCTACCGCCATACGTCTAAGCTGGCATTCCTTACTTGAGAGACTTGGCATGAGAGAAGGTGGTTCTAGACAAGCAAAATCTGCGAGCGACTGGTATCCAGCTTCGATGATTCAATCAGGGATAACACACACAAGGATCAATATCGAAGGGATCTCTCACTCATACTCATGTTGCACGCAATAATGCTGCACAACTGCATCATTTACGGTAGCTAGCCTCGACTTCTGGTCACGAAGCTTACCATATCATATTGATCCGCGGCATTAACATCCCCTTGAAGATTTCTTCGAAAGCGGTACTTTTGCATGCAGTTATGGGTACAATGAGGTGGAAGAGGATTCTTTTTTCCCCTTTTTTCTTCCCTTTGAAAGATACTTTACGCACTGCAGGACAATGAGATAGTCTTTGTCTTATTCGAGACCCCACCGTTTAACACATTGCCATTTCCTTACCGTAAGGGCTAGCAAAGGTTTCCTTTGTGCCCCTGGATCATCCGGGTCAGATGGTACCTTTAATTATATGCACCAAGTTCCTGAAGAACTTCAAGCTGGCTTGCTAGGTACTACCGTAAGCACGTGAACTCTACTCTAGCCATTGAAAGTGAAAACCGGCATTTGAAGAACATCTTGAAATGATCCATAGATGCGCTGGCCAGGAGATATATGATTGGTCCACGGTGAAGATTTGCAAGGACTACCATCCAGTCTTCCATCCAGAAAGTCTCATAAAAGAGTCCTTGCTCATTGTATTGGCCCAAGAGGGCATTAGTGAAGTCGCCAAATCGATGGCTGTTCTCGAGTCGAGGTCGATTCGGTCCTCATTTGGACCGTCAGTCAATTACCGTACCTAATTGGTCATGGCACTTGCCCAATTAAATCCCTCATATTGTGATCAATCAGCGCATTGCTGTTCCAAAGCAACGACTTCAACATTTGATCTCTGCAGATGTTGGCAATCACAACAGGCACAGCTTGCCTCGATCGGCCCTTCCAACGGCATCTGCGGACATCGTGGCGCAGCGCAGAGTGACATCATCCCGTACGGTAACTTACCGGTTGCACGCTTCCAGCCAACTGGCCACAAACACAAGTCTTTGCTCGAAACCTGCTGAGAGGCGCAGTTGGAAACAAGCCACGAGTGTCCGTACATACTCTAGAAGAGCGGCCTGTTCCCTTTCTGGTCCTCGTCCTTCTGCCAGCGTCTCCTCTCCCTTGGCCGCTATCATTGCTGTCGTCCTTAGGTTCAGGTTTCGACGTCAACATCCTCCCAGCGCGTACAACGACAACACATCCAATCCCCTGACATCCCGTATACGACGACAGACAATCCACCGCTGCGCTTGTACCATGGTGTATCCACGCGGCTCTGGCAGAGCATTGCTGCTCAGCGCAAGTTTTGGTCTTGTCAGGGCCGTTGCTGTGCCTGAGCCGACGCCAGTGCCTGCAAAGGTCGAGGTTCGCGCTCCTGTAGTGACTCCCGCACTCATCCGATTCGATGGGCGCGGGAGCTACATTCAGAAGCGCAATATCATCAGCGATATTGCAAATGGCGTCCAAGGCATCGAGAAGTCATGGGCAAGTGTCTTGGGCACCGACTTGCCCAGCTTCTTCACCGAAGGTAAGCAATGGAGCCAAGCTCTCACCAAGCTGCCGCCGTAACACCGAGCATGGCGCATGCTCACACGTGACCATTAGGCATTCCTGGATGGTTCGATAGTGTGCCCACAGGTGACCAAGTGCTATCGAGCGCAGGCATCAGCCGCGCCGACCTCGACGCGAAGCCTACCGAGGTGCTCAATATCCCACCATATGGCAATTGGACCGACCTGGGCTGGAATGTCCGCTTCCACGGCAACGTTTACAAGATCCCGGATATCTCGCAGAGCAAGATCGATGAGCTAGCCAACGTCTTCCTTATCGACACCAGCGTCGAACAATTGCCTGACGATCAGAAGGCAAACGCCCGCAACCTCACGCGCTCGATTTTCATTGTCCAGCAATCTGACCAAAATGTCTCCCTATCTCTCGAGCCCGCTCCTTTACAAGGTGGCGACGGCGAACCGGGCGGCGGCAATGCCATCCCCGCGACTGGTGGCGTCCAGAACTTTACGCTTCCTTACCCCACAACCGAACAAGGCGACTTCGACGTCTTTGTGCCAATCGAGCTGAACGGCCTGACTCCTGGTAACGAGACGAACAATGTCCAGCGCCTCAACGTCTACACCAACGGCACCCTAACCGGCAACGCTACCGCCTTCCTCGTCCCGAGCACTGGCATAACCTTCATCTCCGACATTGACGACATCCTACGCGTCACCAAAATCTACAACCCGAAAGAAGGCCTCCTGAACTCCTTCGCCAGAAATTTCACACCCTGGGAAAACATGCCCGACATCTACGCAAACTGGAGTCGCAGCCTGCCCCCCAACACGCACTTCCATTACCTGACGACGACGCCTGAGCAAGCCACGAGAAATTACATGGACTTCATTTACAAGACCTACCCAGGCGGCTCCTTCGACACGCGCCCCCTGAACTTCAGCGACGTCTCCGCCACGCTCTCGATCCGCAAATTCCTGCTCGACAAAATCTTCGCCACCTTCCCCGACCGCAAATTCGTCCTCATCGCCGACACGAGCAACAGCGACGTCATGAAGGCCTACCCAGAGCTCGCACACCAACACCCCAATCAAGTCCAATGCATACTCCTGCGCAACACCAGTGCAACCGATAGCGAGATGTGGTTCCCATATAACACGGCTGGGTTTGAAGGCCTGAATAGCAAGAATTACATGTTTTTCCGCCATGCCGAAGATCTGATGGGGTTGGATATTGCAGGTGGCCAGTGCTTGAATGAGAGTGTGCCGCAGAATGTTACGTTTAGTCGGCAGGCGGAGATTTTGGGCATCCATGGGAGTGGGGCGGTCAAGGTGGGTGGTAGTAAGACATTGGGGTTTGTGGTGGCGTTTGTGGCGGCTATGTGCCTGGTGTTGTAGGAAGACGAGATTGGCGGTGAGTGGTTACAAGTGTTTTGTGGGTTGACATGACTGCTATGGAATGATTATTGGTTCATGAACGCATGGCGTTTCTTTTTTGATTATCCTGCTTTCACATCATGACTGTCTCAGTGGCTATTAGCGGCACATGTTAGAATACCATATTGCATTTGCATTTTTTCCTTTGGAGGTACATTGGATTATTGGATTGTGCATGTGCATATGGATTTTTGGAGGCATGGTGTTCATCTGGACTCTCCCGATTAGCGGGATTTGTTGAACAATTCATTGGGATTTACTTGTCTCTGGTCTAACTGAGGTTTCAGCAATCCATGTCTTTATTTGTGTGCAACATGATGCGATAAGTGAGGCAGATTATGAATAAGACAAGTTTATATCATAACACCATGGAAGAAGTAGAAGAAGTACGTTATATTATGTCTGTCTGTAGATGTAGGAAGTCACTTACATTACTGCCCTCACAAGGAAGCCAGAAGCATATATAAAAATAACCCATTATAAAACAACACCAACACACAGATGGCATCTCGCAGCAGATTGAAAACTCACAGCGATAAAATTAATTTAGTTTGAACACTTCAATTTCCTTAGGCTCAAAAAGATACCATATAAAACTTAACCAGCAACCCAGCTTCCGCTCGATGAATCCCCATTATGAACCCCCAAAGTCCAATAAAAGACAATCAAGGGTGCTTCTTCGCATTCGCCTTTTTCTGCAGAGCCCGTATCTCGGCGATTTCCTTCTTTTCATAGTGGTCCTCCTTGGGTACCTGATCGAATGCCTCATCCGTGACCACTGCGTGGAGCGGAGGATTATACGTGCCATCCTCCGTACCGGCTTTTGGAAGCGCAGCGCCGTATCGGGGCTTAGCCGTGGGGGTGGGCGCAATCTCTGTGGTGATGACTATGCTGGTAGTGGGTTCGCCGTTGGCGGGACCGGCGGCTTCTGCGTAGTTGGGGTTGCTTGGGTCCGGGGTGGGGGATGGATTGGACATGTTGTGTTAGGATTGATGGCGGGTGAGGGCTTTTTGGATGGGTTTGGGATGGTGGTGAGTTGTTGGGTTGGTGTGATGTAGAGAAGGGATGATGATGGGTTGTATGAGGAGAGGATGTGTACTATGTTTCCATATGAGCGGCAAGAAAGTTCTTATATATGTCATATGCCAGTTGGAGGCAGGTGAATCTGTTTTACCCACGAGAGCTAGTCTCTGCAGATTCATCATGACTGTGAGACATTCGTTCGGAGAAATGGTGAATGTTCAGCATTTGACTGGACGGCATGAGTGGAATCGAGGCTCGGAGACATTACGGTATTGATGGACAGTCGGCATAGACATGCCTGGGTGGGAACATGCGAGAGTCAGCCAAACCACGAGCTTTGAAACCTACTTCGGTGCCCTTGGTGAGGAATAGAGAACCTAAGACAGCACAAGTGAGTCATGGATATGGTTCGAGAGGCACATGACGCTATGACGGTGGATATCTTTAAATACCAGAGGGCGGTTTAAACAGCCTACAGACTCGCTGGATAGACTACGGCCTTATGGTAATGGCCATGGCCCACAACCATTAATACCGTGGTCCAGTGCCAACGTTGTCTTAAGGTATAGTAAGATAGAAAGTGACGTATATAATTGTTGAAGTGTTGTCTTTCCCATGGAGCGAAGTATGATCCTATTTATCTTCAAGCACTGCTGCTAATTGAAGTGCGACAGTCATTGTTTGTTTCAAAATAGAAATGAATCGCAGCATTGTGTGATACCCGTTCTTGGATGATTAGGTAGCTGCTTATGAACTATGTAGATCATTTTATCCAATGAACTATTTAGACTGTTCCTTTCATTGTTTACACGCTATATAAATATACGTATTTCTATCATTGGTCTTTGTCTTCAACAACGACATTGCATGTAGCCCAGCGGTACGATTCAGTGTTTGGAATCTTGGGAGTATGATGGGAGGCGATGTTAATATTTCGAACAATCGAGAATTTGTACATAGCTTGTCATCAGGTTTGACAGATGATCTGCGGACTGGTAAGGTGCATCCCCCCTGGGCAATTTACAGCCCACGTCCAGCCGAGGGCAAAGCGGCGCTAGCACCTCACGTGACCACGCGTCCTGCCCTCAACCTTACTAACTTCCAACAAGGGTCCTGTCCTGTCTCGAGGGCTCGTCCATCATGCCGGTCTAATTTGACCACTATGTCGGACGATCTCGAGGTAAGGGAATTTCACCACCCTTATACGCCATACGAAATACAGAATGACTTCATGCACGCCGTATACAACTGCCTGGAAAGTGGCAAGGTTGGCATCTTTGAATCTCCCACTGGTACGGGAAAATCACTTAGTTTGATCTGTGGATCATTGACCTGGCTTCGCGATCACAAGAGACGGACATTTGAGGAGGGATTTACGACCGAGCGTAATGATAACGATGAACCTTCATGGATGGTTGCACACGCGCAAAAGCAGCAAAGGCACGAAGCACTCCGACGTAAGCAAGATCTCAATGACCGCATTGCGAAAATCAGGATCAAAGAAAGGCGCGCCAGAGAGCGTTATGAGCTAGAAGAGCATCGGTACAAGAGACATAAGACAGACGCCTACCCTATCAATGGTGACAATGATGAGGCACAGTTTGCGCTCGATGATTATGAGAGCGATCGTGAATCGGAGAAACAAGCAAATGGCCAATCGTTCGACGACTCCGGCTTTTCAGCAGAAACGCAAGCATTGATGGCGAAGCTGGGATTTACTGCGGGTCCAGTGAAAGATGCTGATGCCGAAGTACTGGATGAGACCAAGATCTTCTTTTGCTCGCGGACTCACTCTCAATTGACCCAGTTTTCCAGTGAGCTCGGACGAGTAAAGATGCCACCTGCTTTACTTGCCGAGAATGTGGATAACGAAAATAGCGATACCACAAACGAGGATGTTAAACACTTGACCCTTGGTTCAAGAAAGAATCTTTGCATCAACAGCAAGGTCAAGGCATTAGGTAATGCTACAGCTATCAACGAGCGATGTGTCGAACTACAACAAAAAACGAGTGCGGATTGCCGATGCCAATTCATGCCAACAAAGGAAAGCGAAACTTTGTTGACTGAGTTCAGAGATTATGCGCTCGCAAGAATACGCGACATTGAGGATTTAGGGTCGCTGGGTAAACAGCTAGGCATTTGTCCCTATTATGCCTCGCGACCAGTAACTAAGTACTGTGAAGTGAGTATTTGGACCTGCTCTCGCGTGTGAGCCACGGGCTTACTATTGTAGATGGTGACCTTGCCCTATCCGCTTCTTCTGCAAAGGGCAGCACGGGAGGCGCTTGGTTTGTCGCTCAAGGGTCACGTGGTAATCATCGACGAAGCTCATAACCTAATGGATGCTATATCGGGCATTTACTCCGTTTCTGTAACTCTCGACCAAGTTCAACAAGCGCGTGCCCAACTGACTACATACTTGCAAAAGTTTCGTAACAAGCTGAAGGGCAAGAACCGTATGTATGTTGCGCAGATACTACGGGTTCTCGATTCAATCATCACCTATCTCCAGTCTGTTGGTCGAGATGACAAAACAGCAGATGGCCAAGCAGATATGGTCTCAATCCTATCGGGTAAAGGAGTTGACCAAATCAATATTTACAAACTGAACACATACCTGCAAGAGAGCAGGTTGGCGCGGAAAGTTGATGGATACACGGCTTTCATCGAGCAGTCCAACAAGGACGGTGGAAAGGTGTCTGCCGAACGCAAGCCGCGACAACAGATCCCAGTCCTTATGCACGTTCAAACATTTCTTCTGTCTTTGATGAATCCATCTGCAGAAGGTCGCTTCTTTTGGTCGAAAGAAGAGAGTACAGGTACCACGCTACGATACATGCTCCTCGACCCTACATATCATTTCAGGGATATCATTGAAGAAGCCCGCGCTGTCGTTTTGGCTGGCGGCACAATGTCTCCTATGAGCGACTACGAAAACCATCTGCTCCCGTATCTTGACCATTCGCAGATCATGACTTTGTCATGTGGACATGTTATACCACCATCAAACCTCTTCGCAGCTCCTGTCATACAGGCTCCTAGTGGCGCCGCTTTCGACTTCACTTTCGAGAATCGCAATAAGGAGACGACATTGGTTGACTTGGGTTACAGCATCCTGGCCTTTGCGCAACATATTCCCGATGGTGTGGTCATCTTCTTTCCCAGTTACTCGTATCTCCACACATGTGTAACTGGCTGGAAACGCATCTCTACCACGGATTCTCAGCAGAAACTTTGGCAGAAGATTGAGCAAGCCAAGCCAATCTTCCTCGAGCAGCAGAGCCAACAAAGCCGATCCACGCAGTCGCTGGTACCCAAGGACGCCGCTATTGACTCGGTCTTGACCGCTTATAGCGCAGCTGTAGCGTCTGGCAACGGTCGTGGTGCTCTGCTCTTCGCGGTCATTGGAGGGTCACTTTCGGAAGGCATCAACTTCAGCGACTCTCTTGGGCGCGGAGTGGTGGTAGTGGGCTTGCCATTCCCAAATCCACATTCGGCAGAGTGGAAGGCGAAGATGCAGTACATCTCGGCAAAGGAGTCTGCGAGAGGAGGTGATGGGAGAGTGGCTGCCCGCGAATTCTATGAGAATGCATGCATGCGAGCCGTCAATCAATGTATAGGCAGAGCGATCCGGCACAAGGGCGACTATGCGGCCATCTTGATGCTGGACAGACGATATGGGAGTAAACGCATTCAAGACAAGTTACCGAAGTGGATCCGAGGCAGCATGGCCAGCGGTCTAGGTGCTAAGGATATTGGAGGAAAGCTCGACAACTTTTTCGCGGAGAAAATCTAAGTTCAAATGCGAGGGACGAGATTCTCATGGCCATGAGTAAGCGCATTGATCGTGCCTTGACGATCAGTGGTAGGTAGTCCGACGGCAGATCCGGTCAACCGGCGAAGGGGTTGTAGCACAACGGCTTTATGTGTAGCGTCTTATTCAAATCCAAATCGAGTTAGAAGGGCCAGCCTTGTCTCTCATCCAAGAACGCGTGTCTTCAACTTTCCATCATTCACTCGAATAACTTCGGACATCATTCACATACCAATCCGCATTGGCGGTCATGTCGTCATCTCGGATTTGAGGCACGCACCGCATCATAGCGGATGGTGTTGCCGAGACCGTAGAGCAGCAACAGTCCGATTCGGAGGAGCTCCCGGAACAGGTGGAAACTATTTAGCAGCAAACTCGAATATCAGCGAGCGACAACACAACAGCTAGCTATGTCATCTCGATGGGAGTCGCGCGACACCGAAGCGGGTGGTGCCTATACCGTAGTTGCGCAAGGCGATGCTGTAGATCCTCCATCGCAGGGACAGAACATCAACAATGCCGGCCAAAATGACCCAAATCTCGAAGCTCCTGATTACATTGGTTCTGTGCCAACGCCAGAGGACATGCTGTTCCTTCCACGCGTTGCCGATACGCTTCCACGAGGAGCCTTCCTAATCGCCATTGTCGAGCTTTGCGAGAGATTCGCGTACTACGGTCTATCCGGACCGTTTCAGAACTACATCGCCAACGAGTATCACGACTCCAATGGACTCCCTGGCGCCCTCGGTTTCAAGCAAGCAGGCGCAACCGCAATGACCAATTTCTTCCAATTCTGGTGCTACTGTACGCCATTGCTGGGTGCAGTTATCGCGGACCAATATTGGGGCAAGTATGTGACCATCAAATGGTTTAGTCTGGTCTACATGCTCGGTATCACGATCTTGTTCGTCACTAGCCTTCCTTGGAGTATCCAGAGCGGTGTAGCGTTTCCCGGGCTCGTCGCTGCGATGCTCATCATTGGTCTTGGGACTGGTGGCATCAAGAGTAATGTCTCTCCTTTGATTGCCGAGCAGGTACGGTCAACAAAACCTTTTGTCAAGACGATGCGTGGAAAGCAAGTCATTGTGGACCCAGAACTTACGGTGCAACGCGTGTACATGATGTTTTATGTCTGCATTAACTTGGGATCTGTTTCAGCGATTGCCACAACCATGCTGGAGTTACATGTTGGCTTCTGGAGCGCCTACCTTCTTCCGTTTGTCATGTTCTGTGTCGGCTTCATAGTACTTGTACGTGGAAAGAAACAGTACATCATCAGGCAGCCACAAGGGGGTGTTATTGGGAATTGTTTCCGTGCTCTCTGGATTGCATCAAGGAATGGGGGAAATCTGGATACAGCAAGACCTTCTGCACAAAGAGGTCACAGAAGAATTGCCTGGGATGACAGGTTCATCGACGAACTCAAAACCGCGCTGGTAGCATGCAAGGTTTTCCTCTTCTTTCCAATATATTGGGTCACATACTCACAGATGATGAACAACTTCGTTTCTCAAGGTATGTTACACATAAGAGAATATATACTCGTTGCTGATCTCTCTGTACAGCTGGACAAATGGAGCTGCATGGACTGCCCAATGACATACTGCCGAACATTGACCCTATTACGATCATTCTTATGATCCCGTTGATGGATCGGCTGATCTACCCGTTCCTCCGCACCCGCCTTCATCTTGCCTTGACGCCCATTACACGTATAACACTAGGGTTTCTAGTCGCCTCCCTTGCGATGCTGTATGCTGGTGTTCTTCAATGGTACATTTACGCAGCCCCACCGTGCTACGATTATCCTCTGAAATGTGATGCTGGTAAGCTAGCGGATGGCAAGCTGGAGCCAAATCGGATTCACGTCGCATGGCAGACGCCGGCATATATACTTGTTGCTCTAAGTGAAATTCTCGCAAGCATTACCGGGTTGGAGCTAGCATATGCAAAAGCACCCGAGAATATGAAGAGCTTCATTATGAGTCTCTTTCTACTTACTTCGGCTGGGGGGAGCTTGTTGGGTATTTTGATTGCGCCTTTTGCTAAGGATCCACATCTCCAGTGGCTGTACTTTGCCTTGGCTACTGCTGCAGCTATTACGGGCTATGCCTTTCATCGGATGTTCAAAGATGTCAATCAAGGAGTGCCCGTGAACAAGGTCGTCGAGAGTGCAGAAGAGTTTGAACTACTGGATCGAAGGAGCGGAGATGATGACGAATAAATGTAGCAATGACAGATCCGAAGGCATGGAGATTGCCCGGCGTTCTCCGAGATCATAATAATCATCAAGCATTCATTGAACGAACCTTCAATAGCACCACTGACATGTAGATTAATTGGGCATAAAATATATTGTGTGGATGATTCCGCAATCGTCTAAAGCAGGGTTGATCAGTCTGAACCAAGCATGCTGTCAGACAGAGTGCCTCACGACATTCGTACTTTTTTTAACAAAAAGATCGCAATATGTTATCTTATGGCGGTCGTTACATCGCACTATCCTCACAATTGCATCCATATTTGATATGGCGTGTCGCTTACTAGCAGGTGCAAAGACGCCGTCCAGTGAGATGAGGTGCTGTTTCTTAAGTAACAGCCTTGATTCATGTGGAGTCTATGCTTTATGCTTCGCCTCAATCAGGAACAAGAGGCCATGTCTAGTATCTGGGAATTCAGGGGAGAATTAGTCCTGGGACTTTCCACGAAAAGCTAATTGTTGATTGACAAAACATGCAGAAACTGCAATGATAGATATCTCTCGATCAAAACTGTCGCAGAATACAAGTATACTATGTGAATAATTTCCATATATTGAACACTAACAACTGCTTAGCTATATTGTTGAACAGACTGCAACAGAACATACTTACGATCATGGGAACTGAGATCAGGAGATGCTATCTGACAAACCCCTAGTCAGAATTATTGCGACCGAACATACGCGTACTCATTAGTCCAAAAAGGGTCCTGTCCAGGCAGAGCAATCTCCCGCTGTGCGGTCCAATTGCGACAGTGTTCATGTCAACAGCCAGATCTGGGTATTCATTACGACGATATGGTTCACCGTTTTCGAATGGATCTCCCTCTGCTGCCCAGATTTGCACAGTTGCAATTGCGTTCCGGTTGTTCTGGGTGGCGACTCGGTAGTTCGTTCCGTCTTCGTTATGCCAGCCCTAAATCTGCACGTCATGTCGATGACGATTGCGGGCTGGGTCTTCGCGACCTATATCAATCCAGCCCCTTGGGTCTGGGTCTGGCGAATTTCGATGGATAAGCCAGAACTCAATCAATTGGAGCAGTGGTGGTTGAGGTTGCCCTTGGTATCCTGGAGCTACCTGACAATTGTTGCCTTGGCGTTCAATAATGACGGGATTGGGTGATTGATTGTCGATAGGGGCCGCTGTAGCGACAAGACTCAAGAGAGGAAGGTGGAGGATTGATTTGAGAAACATTTTGATAAAGAATAGAATTCTGAAAAAGCAAGGTGATTAGAATGATGCGTTTACAGGTTGATCTGCTGAATGTTCAAATATAATGGTGAGATAGAAGGAGAACTTAATGGACCGTCTTTATAGTTAACACAAGCCAAGAGTGAAAGAGACTCTAGATTTTGCCACAAGGTCTAGACAATACACAGTGGAACATGTCGTATCCCATGCTTCCTCTAGACAGACCAAATGGGTCGTAATTGACTCAGTGTTCTGTCAAATTCAAAGGACAGGACCGTTTCCATCGGTTCAATACTCACGTGATAGAGGAATAGCTGGCATCTGTGGGTGAATTGATAGATGTTAGGCTGCGTACATGACGTGAGAGATCTTCTTTTGTGTCGTACGTGCCAAAGCTCTTAGAGTGGGGAACTAAAGCGGTATACAATTGTATGCTCTAGACTCTGGAAACGGCAGAGATTCTCTAGAAAGCAAACCAGGAGAGTCCATAACATTGACTTGTTGTAGCAACAGTCAATTGTTGCGATATAATGGCTGAATGAGACCCTGACGAAGGTGTTTACAACCTTGACTCCCAGCTCGTAAATCTGAGGATTGCCAAATGGGAAAGAGAAGACGTTCTGGTTCGTATAGATAATCGGGGTTATTTCCAAGCTTTGCTACGCGACTATACATCTTCCAGTTGCTCCGGAGGAAGATCTTTCCCCTGATATAAACATCCCAGATCAAGTACCTAGTGAATATTCGTAAATGAGATATCCTAAACCAATGGTATGACCTATCAAGGTTAAGAGACTGGGCGTTGAAAGTTGCTTCGGTTTAGAGTGTAGTCGTGGCCAAAGGTTTATTTTCATGGTGTGCGTAAGCTATGGATTGCTCTCTGGGGGAACACGTTTCATATATTCCCTGTGGTGCATGCACTGTCTTGATCTAGACTACAGGCCTAGAATTCCTGGAAGATTGGATGGCGGGTCTGCTTCGAAATTCCAAATTTGGACCAAGTTTTATGCAATATAACATATGATTTTGCATCTTCAACCTCAGATTTGATATCATCTGGAAACTGAAAACTTTTCTATGAGACCTTTTCTAGCATGATAGAGAACCCAAAAATCGCGTATTCTACATATCACTGGGACAATGCCCCTTCTCCAATGTGGGTGGTTTGAAGGATTTTGATGGAACACAATGTAGAAGTTCAGCCGCGCGTTCATGTTGACTAGCCGATTGAGGCTCCTTTGTCCAATCTCTCCCCCTGTAATATTGCCCATTTGCCCCCTTGAAAGTAGACGCGCCCCAGAGTGTCATCGAGAGGGCCTGGTAATATGCACTTTGTGTTATGCACTGATCATGCTAGCATATTTCATTGCATCACAGAGCGTCCTTACGCATGTGGATTCCCGAAGTCAGTGTGCTGAAAAAGAGCACAGCGCGACACCCTGTTCTTGGAGCTTGCAAAAGAAGTATTCTACGACTGGTGAGACGAAGCGTATCCTGGCTAGGGGGCCAGCAACCGGCCAGAACGAACCTGGACTAAGAAGTGAACTGGGATGATGGCTTCCGGTGCTGGCCATAGAACGAGCTCTGTGCTTGCCCTATTGTGTTGATGTGACCGGATGCCCACCCAGAATTCTATTCCGCCTCCACTTCAGGAAAAAGCCTTGGTCTCTAGATAGGAGCTAGCACTTCACAGAGATCTGCTCAAAAGTGACCATGATGTAAATAAACATTGAACAACTTTCGTATACCACTGCAACATCAGTCTACTTGTAAGAAAATAGGTCGGCATCTTCTCAGACTTGAACCTTGTCCCTCCTCGTTAAGCAGTGATTATAGAATCGCACCATGGCCAAGGTCATCATTTGAACTGATTTGATGGAAAGTTGCCATCTGATGGAAGTGGTACGAGAAAGCTTATTATCCGATCGTCCGTGCAGTCATGGCTTCCTGGCCCCAAGGCTAAGTGCATAGCAATCAGCTCTATAAGGATACAGATGTAGGAGAACATGTGCGGCAACTAGCAGAGCTTCGACATGTGCTAACTAAAATCCCTGATCTGGCATATCAAAAACAGTATATGCTAGGAATAAAAGCTCGCCGTGTAGCACGGCGTGACAGTGTAGTCGTACATATTTTTGATTTATCTGTAAGCTGGACCGCCGAGTTACCACCTGACCAGACCTATCTTACATTTTTCCTATCTCTGTACGGATATTGGCCTCATTCAGGTATGGGTAGAAACCTTAGGTATTGCCGATGAATATCAGATCTCACGGCATGTGCCATATCTTTGCAAGTTCATCTCTTATCAGACGAGCACTTCGTATTGAGTAAAATGCCATCCATCATAGAGATGTATCCAGAAACGGCTGGCTCGACTCCTACTCGTCAAGGGGGGTGGGGTTGGCTTAGGCAGATTCGCATCTTTGTCTATCTGAACGCATCGCTGATCAGGCTTGCTTGGATACACTCTGACTTGTATCCTCACATGCATATAAAAGATCATTATAAACACGCCGAAAAACCAGCAACACCTGTTCAATGCTGTTCTAGGAGCATGAAAAGATATGTGAAGCTGATGGTAAGGGTGATGGAGTAAATTACCCGCCCAGCGGAGCATCCGACTATGCACGATACCGGTACCGTACCGGTACTAAAGCTAGTCTCAATGCGGTCAGTCATCAACAAAATCTCCCCGCGACGATTACCACTTAGGATCGATAGTTGCTTCCTCACAAAGGAACTCTTGGAATTTATTTACCCGCCACATACGTCCCATCCTTTCTACTAGAAAACTGCTAGAAACTCTTGAAATAATTCACATGTGCCACCTCTCTACTGCCTTCCCCTCTTCCCCTGCCCTACCCTCACACTCCTAGCCTTCCAACCCGAGCCCAAATACAAACTCGCAGTTGAGGCCAAAGAGCGCCGGCGATCGCGCAGCGGAGCAGAACCATTCTTCTTCCGTGAACACAGCGCTTGCAGGATAATCGGGGTTATGCGGGACGAAGGCGGATCAGTGGGTGGTGGAGAAGAGCGTGTGAAAGATATGGGATGTGAAGGTGGGATGACAAAGCTAGTTAAAGGAGGGACGGACTCTAGCTCCAGGAGCGGGGGCTGCATTTTAATTGGTATTACTTTCGAGCTGGTCGAGGTTGAGGTTGGAGCCGCAGAGGGTGTTGAAGTTGTGGTTGATGTGTTCGTGTCCTTGCTGTCAGTACCATTTGTTGCTACACAGCAGTGAGATGCAGAGCTTGGTGCGTCGTCGCAGATTTCCTCCATCACTACACTTAGAGGACTGGCAATGTGCGATGTTCCTTTCTTGCGGCGTTCGGAACTTGCGATGAGGGAGGTCCAGAATTCGGCGTCTTTGCTTGTTCTTGTTCGTGAAGTTGAAGTTGAATTTGATGTTGTTGTTGTTGTTGTTGTTCTTATGGTTTCGAGGGATGATGCGAGCAGGGTGGGCGAGACAACATTTTCCAAGGCTCGATTAAGCGTAGGCATGGAGTCTGCTTCTGCTTCTTGTGCTGAGGGCGAAGAGGAGTATGTGGTTGAGATTTCAGCGAGGTCAGTGCTAGGAAAAACGGATTCTACGGGCGTGCGAACTCCATATTTCTTGCCCCAGCGGCATTCCGAGGGGTAACTGCAATTATTCCAGCAGTCTTTGCGTCTTGACGCTTTGTGCTCGGGTGAATGATGACGGTTTTGTGATTTATTCTCCTCGCGAATATCACGTCGCCATCGGGTCCAGGCCTTCCATCCACTGTAGTCGAATTCACTTGCACATGCTCGATGTCTTTTCACTCTGCGCCCGCCACTTGGTTTCCGCCATGCTTTTACGGTTGTGGTGCCAGAGCAGAAAAGATGGCCATCGTCGAGACAGCGGCGGGTTGCAGCGAGAGGGTAAGAATGCGCACATTGGTGGCATGTCCATTGCCATGAAAGGGGACTTGCTGGTGGTGCGGCCACGTACTTTTTCGTGGTAGCCTGGGGTGGGCTACTGGGGTAACTACTCTCGTAGGAAGATAAAGAAGAGGAAGGTCTTCGAAGAGAACCGACTGGTGTAAGTGGTGTGCGTGGTGAAAACGGAGACGGTGGGATGGAAAGAAGAGAGGGTTTGAAAGGAGTGGGGGTAATGCGCAGAGGTGCGCGATTCGGGCGTGAGTTTGACATCTTGACGTGAGAGAGATTCTGGAGAAATAGTAAATCGAGGGATCGTAAGGCAAAGAGCCAGCTTTGCATAGAAGTCTGAAGAGACGATTGTTGTAAGTACACAAAATGCGAAGTCCGACGATCAAATGTCGTAGAGTATCTCGACAAGCAGCAGTCTGCGACCTTATTAGTTTACTCCCTACCTTTGACGTGATTCATCTTCCCACAGCCTCCATCACCAGCCCTCACTGATTCTTTCTTCACAACGCCAAGCAAAGTCGCCAAATCCAAATTCCGCCGTCATAAGGATAAAGCACATGACTTGGAACATCTTTGTTGGGCGGCCCGTCACATAGTACAACTCTTTGTCTAAACGGAGCTTCGAGCGCAACACATGAAAACCATGGAGCAGTCTCGAACACATAGTCATTGTCCACCATGTGGCTTGCTGGGCGTTCTGGAGTGCAGAAGGAACTCGCGGGAGGCTAGTGTACGTGCAGGAGTGCGTCTAAATTAGAAATTAGGATGAAGAATGGGCATCGAGATCGTGCAGGACCACGTGGGAGATCGTAGATTGTCGGCATGACGCTTTGATTCCTGCTTAATATTTGAGTTACGATGAGAGAGTTCTGGCTTATTGATCTATCTTGTAATCCACTGTGCACATCTTGTAGCATCGCTCTGTTTTGCCGCACTCTCGGTTCAATGAATCGGATACCTCTGGGTTGAGGAGTGGCAAGCTTTCAAGCAGGCGATGGACAAATTCTGCATACGCTTTCAGTACCTAGTACGGTAAAGGCTCCTCACATGACAGACTGACTACTTCGCCAGGCGTTGACTTCTTTTTAATCTATGAAAATACCTGTTTCCAAGCAAACTTCCAATAATGTGTAGCCGTGAGAAAGGAGAGACAAAGCAGGCGGTCGACCAGGGTTATCGCAATCCCCACGAACTAGGTAGGTATGTGCCTAAGCCCAAAGTAGATGTGACACGCTAACGCTACCGGTAGTCCCAAGAACACAGCCTCCACATCAACGCAAAAGTGAGTAGATACAGTAGATACACATACGCAGTCCGACGCTCAAGCAAGATGCTCCAAACTCATGTCACTTCAGATGAGCCCAACTGAGCTTGCCGGTATGCCAAGAAGAAAAAGGAGAAAAACATGTCTCCACACGAACCACACGCGTGGGACGACCCCCAGTCCGTCCCCCACACACCCACACCCGGCTATCGGTACCCGCCCTCCCTCGCGGGCTAGGTACATTTGATTCCGCAGAAAACGAGTCTAGCACACCACGCCTATTTTACACAAAGATAACAAAGCGCTTGATGTTTCTTGTTGATCGGCGACGTCGTTGATATCATCCTACGCAAGTGGTAGGAAACGTAAATGGACTGATCTTACGCCCAGAGACTGCGTCGTGCCGCCTGCTTCCGCTCCTGGGTGCACGTTTTTCTGTGCTGTGCATGGGTGGGCATGTACATGGAGCAGTACATGTCTCAATGAAACTTCATCTCCACTTTCCGTCAGCAATACTAATAGCTAAGCATTGATATAGACAGCATGTAGTGAGATTGTCAGAGTAACGCCGCGTCTAAATCTTCCAACAGCTTTGAAGGCTGAAACGCATGTTCAAGTAATGACTGTGCGCGAATGGATCTGTTTTTAACTCGGATCTTTGTTCTCAACATATACAAGGTATCTTTTTTTGTTCTCTAGAAGCCCAAGCGACAAATGGAACATACGACACGTTATCCTACATTCTTCCACCAGGTCATAGCCTTGATACATTTTCTCACCACCTAATATTGGCCACCTAATGCCTCACATACCTAACAGCAACATAGTCAGAGCCAAGAAATGCACAGCGTCGTTGACGTTCAACAATGTACTCTTCCCTACTCTGCCTAGACGCTATGCACCATGCGCTATGTAGGTAGCTTCTAAACCCTGCATGCCACTCTTCCCCTTGCGCGATCAAGGATCGGGGTAGCGCTTACAGCCTTGCAGTACCCGCCCTGGATGCCCACTAAATGGATATAGAGTACCTACCCAATTGCAGCAACGATTCCATTCCCAGCAACCAGCTACTGTGTACATAGTGATAGCTACTGTAGATGGCGCGAACGGCTACCTACGGCAGGTAGGTAGATGTTCAGAAGGGTTTGCATTGTCGTGCTGACGTACAGATGTAAGCCCTACTGCATGTCACGCTCTCACGGGGGACCGGTCGTACTCTGTCTGTATACCTACGGTATAGGTAGGTAGCAGGTGTGTCAGGACATGTCAGGACACGTCAGGCTATGTCCATACTGCTACATGGTAGTTACCGTATTACAACCGATGGATTGCGGTTTCGAGGGATGGGTTTAGGGTTATGGCGACGTATAGGATCGGTACGGTTCAGTGCGGGGTATTTGGAAATGGGGACAGCGACGATTGTTGTATACATGCGTAGTATGTCAGTTTAGTGGGCCTGAAAATAACCAACCTTGCATACTGCCTATCTCACACTCTGCATAGTAAAACACTTGTAAATCTTCGAGTATTGAGGGGAATGTGCAGAGAAATATTACAGGATGGGGGATGTGAATACAAGAGAGACTTGCCCAGTATATCACCACAACTATTGCCATGATAGTGCTCTATCTGGTCCAAGATTTGTACTGTGCTTTTTATACAGCTTGCCCAACATCTTGTCTATTCACAACCTCGGATTTGCGTTTGCCATTCCTGCCAATGGGCAAGACATAGATATATAGTACCATGGCAAGATATGTTTTGGTGATGCTTGCCAAGAGATGGCCCGATATTTCTGGAAGCAATCCCGAAGGAGGGAATTTGTTGCAGCAGCAAGTCGGCTGGGGTGGGGCCATGTGGGCAGCGCTAGAGATCGCTACAGCCTTCTAGTGTCATATCGTGTACTGACACAATACCATAGTAGAGACGGATGTACTATTGTGCAATAGAGTGATATGGATCTCTCGCCTGACTTGGATGACTGCTCAGCCAGCACAAGACGAAGCCTACCGGATTCGTTGTCCCCTCCACTTGGAGATGGGCAATCTCGATCAAACCATGGCCAAACGCAAAAGACAGCGCTCTGGACAGCGTTGGTTTCGTGCGAGAGGGTAATAGGGCCGTAGGTGCAACAGACGACCGCTGACCCCTCCCTTGTGGCGGCCCAAGCTTTGCATGTTTCAAGACGGCGGTGTATTGACCACGCATTGCTGTGAACTCATGATACAAAGTGCGATTCAAAGCCACATCTGCGAGTATCGGAATGGAGAGAAGGAGAGAGCGACACGGGGGGGGGGAAGGGGCTGCCAACAGGTGAGCCAAGAAGGGGGACGCGGCGCGAGAAAAGGTTCCCCTTATCTATAGGACGAGGATATATATTTACAATAGAACATGGTCGAAGACATTGCCAATTTGATAAGGAGCTTCAGGCCCCAAGCTGGATGGTGAGAGTGAACTGTGTGATCGGATGGGGCCTCGGGCCACTCGAGACAATTGATGGGAGTCGGCCCTGTGCACGGCCAGGCCAAATGGGGCTAAGCGCCGCCACTCGAATAGGCGGGCGACTTTGTTGATTGGGCCGGGTCGGTAATCGGAGCTTCTGGAAGCGGCCTAGCCTTATCAGCAGCTCAACGGGGGAAGTTGCAATCCAATTGACAAACATCCCACACGCCAAGCTTCCCGCTCCCACACACACATTCACACATATTCACACATATTCACACACACACACACACACACACACACATTCACGCTCACAGATACACATACTACAGATCCACACACACACACACACACACACACACACACACACACAAGGCTGTATACCACCACTTCATCACCGCTGTCATCGTCGCTCATTACTTTTGCTTCTTGGACACAGCTTACTTGGGCACATGTCAAAGTCACGGCCCAATCAGTCGTCGCATCGGAGAGAGTCAAAGGCCCCGAGGTAGGTCCCCCCCCGCCGCCATGGGGGCATTGTACTCAGTGCACCACACACTATGCCTCGCCCGACCTGGTCGTTACTCAGACGCCCGCCGCCATGGCGCTCGCACCGTTGCCCCCTTATCTGTCTGTTACTTTACTCCCATGCTAAACAAAACTGACATGTCCGCGAACGGCGAGATAAGCCAGCGCCGGACAATGACGCACGCTGCCACCGCCTCCCGCCCCAACACCGCCAGCAGCAATCAATGGCAACAAAGCGCGCTCCCCCGTCTCCCATGCACTTTCATGGCAGTATCTTCTACCTAACAGTAGCTACTGTACCTACCTACATCTTCCTACTCTAGTAGCCGGGCTCTTAGCGAAAACCCCACGGGCCCCTCGCGTTTTGTGGCCTGTGGGACACATGTGCGCCTCGTTTACTTTGCCTCGACACTGGTTGGTGTTGGCCCGTGGACCAGGATAGATAAGAGTAGTACCAAAAAGCCCCAACCCATTGCCATAAAGCTCCCGGTAGAACTACCGTAATCTACACCTGGGTTGTCAATCTCATCCTGGTACTTACCGGTCCGTATATCTGACCCCCTTCGCTCTCTCTTTCTTTCTCTCCTGTGCGACAAAAAGTCTCGAGGGCCCCGTCTCTTCAAAGTCCTCCCCTTTACACTACCGACCCAGACGCCCGTCCCTACCCCCCTTCCAAATTGCTGGAAAATCGGCCACCATGTCGCATTCTTGGGTAGGCCCTCCGGCCCAATTCAATGGTACAGATGATATAACTGGCGGTGACTCTGGTAAGTACCATCCCATCTCTTGTCTATCACGACGCACGTGCCCAGCGTTACAATGCGAAACGGGCAACCTCGACGCCAGCTATAGGCGCATCGTGGGGAAGACACGACGACGACGAAGAGAAGGAGAACAAGAAGGAGAAATAAGCTGACTTGGACCCTCGCAGTCACCGAGAACTTGAACCAATGGTTTAATCCTGGTGACCAGGCCTTCATCATTGTAGCCTCGGCCATGGTGCTGGTCATGATTCCAGGCCTGGCCTTTCTCTACTCGGGTCTCGCCCGCAGAAAGTCGGCTCTCTCCTTGATCTGGGCTTGCATGTTCTCTGCCTCGGTCATCACCTTTCAATGGTACTTTTGGGGCTACTCACTCGCCTTCGGCCCATCGACGAATGGCTTCATTGGCAATCTCGACAAGTTTGGTCTCAAGGGCGTTCTCGCGCATCCCAGTCCAGGAAGCCCTCTGATTCCCGAGCTCCTATATGCCTTCTACCAGGTAGGCTCATCTCCACCACCCTTTCGAAATACGTCCTTGCCAAGCAATGCGAAGCAGCGAATAAACACCACAACACCACCACAAGCATGATATATTGTTACAAGTAATGGCTGTCAATCAGTGCTAATCTATTCTCCAGATGCAATTCTGTGCCGTCACGGCGGCCATCATCGTCGGTTGCGTTGCTGAGCGCGGTCGCTTGATTCCCATGATGGTCTTCATCTGGCTTTGGGCCACCATCGTATACTGCCCCGTCGCATACTGGGCATGGAACGCGAACGGGTGGTTCTTTGTGTGGGGCGGTCTGGATTACGCCGGTGGGGGTCCCGTCGAGATTGTCTCTGGATGCACCGCCCTGGCCTACTCGATGGTTCTCGGACGTCGTCAGGAAAAGATGATGCTCAACTTCCGTCCTCACAACGTTTCTTTGATCACGCTTGGAACCGTCTTCCTGTGGTTCGGATGGCTGGGCTTCAACGGTGGATCCGCTTTTGGTGCTAACCTTCGCGCCGTCATGGCCTGCTGGAACTCCAACCTCACAGCCATGTTCGCTGCCATGACCTGGGTTCTTCTCGATTGGCGCCTGGCGCGCAAGTGGTCCATGGTTGGCTGGTGTTCTGGTGTCATCTCTGGACTCGTGGCTGCCACACCCGCTTCCGGCTTCCTCCCCCCGTGGGCTAGCGTCATTCTTGGCATCACCACGGGTGTAATTGCCAATTTTGCTACCAAGAGTAAGCTGCATTGGTTCTTACATTATCCTCATCAGCCCATGCTAACAGCTTCTAGTCAAGTTCTGGATCAGGATTGACGACTCCCTCGATGTGTTCGCTGAGCACGGCGTCGCAGGAATGTGGGGTCTCTTCTTCAATGGCATCTTCGGCGCCGACTACATCATTGGCCTAGACGGCGTCAACAACGGTCTACCAGCCGGTGCCATTACTGGCGAAGCCGCAGCCATCTACAAGCAAATCGCCTACATTGTCGCCGTGACCGCCTACTCCTTCACCGTCAGTGCTATTCTCGCCTACGCCATCGACAAGATCCCTGGCCTCAAACTCCGCGCCTCGGAAGAGGCAGAACTCCTCGGTATGGACGACGACCAGCTCGGCGAATTCGCATACGATTATGTAGAGGTGCGTCGCGATTACCTTGCCTGGACCCCGGCAAAGGGCGAGCCCATTGATGGCGAACACTCTGTTCCTCAAGGTGACCGCCACGGTATCCCGCAACATAGCCAGATGCTCGAGGGCAAGGCGCCAAGCGAAAATGGCTCTGGAAACGAGCACACTGGTATTGGTGGAGATCGCCATGCAGTCGCCATGGGTGGTGAGCATGAGAAGCAATCACCTGTGTAAAAGAAAGGAGAGTGTGAAGCATTACCTGTCGTTTCGAAGTCAAGCTTTTGCTGATTCAATTTTTTTTCCTGCATTATTGGGTGGAGCACGCCTTGTGCCTGTACTCTTGTCTCTGGACTATCGTGTCCTTTGCAAAACCTTATTTCGAGATACCACTACTGGGCAAACCATTTTTTTTTTCAATTTAGGCAATGTCACGTAGTTAACTACTTCAGCCCGCGTTTAATGAGATGAAAGATGCATGAAAAATATGGTTCATGCCACTGTTTTTTGCCTATCACTTTTTTACAGCTTAAGACCATCCTGTGTAGGGCTTTCCCCCTCAGCGTCCTCATCATTTCTGTATTCCTGCTTTTTGATAGACATTCTAAATATGACTGCGGATTGAGTCAAGCAAGAGGTTTTGTTCCCATATTATCTTGGCCTAATAGAAGAGGATTTTGTTGTAGGCAATTACCATGTCTAATACTGTACTGTGCGGCTGACTACATGAAGTGAATCCATTTTCCGTTCAGCAGAGGTGGGGCTGTTCGAAAGCCTTCGGATAGGTATTTGGGCATTAGAATTTTTTGCCGTGGTCAGTTTCTGCGTAAAGTAGGGCAGCCTTCGAGGAAGTCAAATTGCAGCTGTGTGGTGGTGATGGGTAGTGGTGGTGGTTCAATGTGTGTTGTCCCCTGATGCCGTAGGTAACTGTCAATGCCCCTATACCTGCTAATATCACACGTCACTTACCGCCCAACAGACAAAACCTTCACCATAAGAGCCGGCTTTTCCCAAAGAGTAAAAACTTTTTGTCCATCCATCCAATCGTCCTGCTCATCTACGAGCTTGAGATCAAAATGGAACAGGACTTTTGCCAGAATAAGGCGCATCTCAGCGTATGCCAGACTACGACATCCATCCCGTCAGCATGCTCAAAAGCCAACACGGCAAAGATACCATGGAAATCGGCTTACTTCTTGCCCAAGCAATTCCTCGGCCCAAAACTAAACGGATTCCACACCTCCCGCCTATCCTCTGCGTATCGCTCATCGCCCAGCCACCGCTCAGGCACATAGCAATCTGGATCCCTGAAGTTTCGCGACGAGTGGTGAGTCGCGTGTTGACTCACATATACAGATGCACCTGCTGCCACATAGTATCCGGAGATATAATCGCCGCCTGCGGGCACCACGCGTGGCAAGCCCGTTGGCACGGGCGGATAGACACGCAGACTCTCCTGCAGACAGGCAATCATGTACTCGAGCCCATTCACCGCTTCCACGGTGATGTCGCTTGCCTTTATAAACCGGGTGCGGACTTCGCGCACGAGTTTGGCATAGGCGGCGGGGTTGCGCAGAAGCAGAAATGTAGCGCCGCTGAGGGTGGTGGCGGTGGTTTCACTGCCGGCTAACAGCAGCGTAGTCGCCGTGCTGTCCATTTCCCCGCGACTGAGCTGCTGCGTCTCCTTGTCTTGGTTCTTGAGGATGAAGTTGAAGAAGTCGTTGCGGTTCGGATCGAGGCCTTTGTCTAGTCTGGCGCCGACTTGGGCGCGCGCGAGGTGGAAGAATTTGATGCGCGCGGCAACGGTCGAGGGCTTGGTGCTAAGGAGGGCAGACAGCTTGTCGTATAGTGCTAGGATGGGGAATCTTGCGCGCGTTGAGAGGATGCCCGAGGCTTTTATGAATGAGTGTACAAGGCTGATCCAGGTGTGATCGTTTGAATCGCGGAGGCAGTTGAGGGGGACGCCGAAGGCGAGGTCGGTGATGCTGGGGAGGTGTTGGTTCGTGTAGTGAATAAGCTATGAGGTACAAGGTGTATTGTAACTTACATGTCAAAGGTGGAGAAGTTGTACCAGCGCATAATGTCAACGGTTTTACCTTGATTGGCATGCTCATCGAGGCGTTGGATCAGTAGGTCGACGTAACTCTGTATCAAGGGCTCTTGCGAACGCAGTGCCTTGTCACTGAATGCATGGGACACATTTCTGCGTATCCGAGAGTGAGCTTCTTCACCAGCAGTGATGATCGAAGCCACCTGGTTCGGCTGCTTTGGACTGTCCCCTCATACATTAGCATCTGCTACGCTGACATCATACCTCCTGTATAACAAGACAAAAAAGTACATACAACCATGTGTGATCCTTCAAGTATGGACCTGTGTTCTTGTATTTACCTGTCCGGAATCCATAGATGTCGGGCCATGCCGTCTCCGCTGAGATGAAGGAAATCTCGTTTGGAGCGACTCGTACTGCGTCTCCGTATTTTTCATGCTGTGCTCGGATCCAGGGAATGATAGTGCCAATGCGCATGCGAAATGCAATCGGTAAGCCAGAAGCACGTGAGGAGAGTGGACCAGGGATGTGCTTTAATGGGTGGAAGAAGATGTTGTAAACTGCGGTCCGGAGTAGGTATAGGAGTGACTTTGGGGTGTCAGTGTTGATTGATTAGAAATTCCAAGGGCACGATGCCTTGACGATTTGAACTGATGTCGGGACTGAGAAGGAGTTTTCCAGGCCAGTCTCATCCTTAATCCAAACATAACTTACAAACGCAACAAAACTCGCAGCGGACACTGCCATACCTCTCAGACTCAAGATGCGAAAATCAACTGCTAATGAAGACATCTTGATTATCCCTTTTGCAAACAACTCAGGCAAGCTCAGCTAAGTAAATCTGTAATGTGTCGCAAGCTGTTCCGTTTTGTTTTGCTTTCTCTCCTTCGCTTCTTTATATGGCCCAGCACATGCACCCCTGACCATAGTCGAGAAGGATTGACATCACCTCGCAGAATGCGTTCGTCCGATTCGATGATCATGCATATAATGTCAGGCATTGCGCCATACCACATGGTGACCTACGGTGACCTACTTACAGAACCACCGTATATAGTACGTCACTTCCTAGACCCTACAGCAACAGAGCATCAGCAAACTAGCACTCTGCAGCCCTCGATCCAACACTCAGAGAGACCAATCACTCTTTCGATACTCTATGTAATACGCAGACTCGCAAAAGACGCAAAACCTACTGTGCAAAGTCGCGTCGCCTGTGCACAACCTTTACCCCGCAAACAAATACCATACCCTCATCTCAATCCTGTATTATCAACTTCCATATCCTCTGACACATGCATAATATGCAGACACATCATCATGCACAATACAATCCAGTCACCACCCTCCGACGCTCCATCTGCAGACAGCCCCAGTGTCCCAGTCAACATGCATCTACCAAAACACTCCCCAAATACTTTACCGGTACCGGACACCAACACCCCAAGTCACAATCCCATACCCATAATCACCAAACCAATCTCCCCATACCACGTACTTATTGACCCGCGCTCCCAAATCACCCATACAAACCCCCCAAAATCTACACTAAGAATAACGCATGCAAGGCTGCAAACCAACATACTCTCGGCCGAGCAAGCCAAGCCTCGGCCGAACCCGCCCGTGTGGCCATGCGGACAAGCGCCGGCCCGCTCAATGTACGTATGTCGTGCAGTATCGTCGCTAATGTATTGTACAAAGCTTTGCTAGCGTACTGCGGGGCATAGCTCCTTGGGGTTGGGAGCAGGCGGTGGAGTTACATGGAATCATGTTGCCGTTGCCTTGATTATTGCCCGAGGGGAAGAGCGGTTAGACGAATGGAGGGTCGGAGGGTGAATGCGGATAGTGGGAGTGTACATGGGAAAAAGAGCAGGAAGCGAAGAGGGTTCGTCGGAGGTTTAGGTACTTAGTGGGGAACTGGGGTAGGGTGTTGCCTTTGTGCGTACCTTATAGATGATGAGGGGTGAAATTTGAAAGATCTGTACATATATGGCGATGGTTTTAGACTCTGTTTGGAGTCTGTTAGTGAATTCTTCTGTCTTGCTGTCTCCTATCCATTCGCATCAATATGTCGAATTGGTGGTATTGCGATCACATGGGTGTACATTTAGTACGTTCGTGCAGGCCTGACGCAATAAAGGTTGGATCGATGGCGGTAACAACTTGTACGACCAGCTATAGCATCTATGCCATAGACACGAGATAATACATGGTTCGGGATCATGTGCCTTGGCCTAAACTTTCGCATTCGTGACATGGACGTTTGGAATCGCCGAGACGCGGGCGCAATGGCACAAGATCGAGCCACTACTCCCACAACGGCCATTTACATACCATCAGTAACTTCAGAAAGCAGTCCAAAAGAATTGAAGAAATTCGATAATCCTCACTCCTCCACTCCTTACCCCGGCCATACTTTTATTGTTTCGGTCATATGCGAACGGACTCGTCATGACGTTCCTAAACAGCAGCATCATACCTGACAAATCGAGTGGACTGGGTGTATAAAGATGGAGATACATTGAGAAGAAAGGATCATTAGGATTCCAGGACCCCAGGACCCAGCGTCTGCGACATACTCAGAGGACAAGAAATGCTGCAAGGCATTGGTGTGATGAAAAAAAAAACACTAATAGGAAATATATACATCAAAGGCTAGAGGGTAGTTATATGTTTGGCATGAGGTTGATAGCAGCCTCCTTCCTCTAGGTGTGGAGTTGTGCAAGATAGGCAATGCGAATTTAAACGAGAGGCTAGGTGGAGAGAAAGCCAAAACTTGTGAGAGACGTCAAGAGCGACAACAATATTCTATACTAGTTTAGTACTGTTTTGTAATTTTCACGAAAGATGGCCACATTGTATACATAAATGGTGTTAGTAACAGGCTTGTATTGAAAAAGACGGCATAAAGCGGAACATTTTCTATAGAAGCCTAAGACTATAAACTCCCCTGATGGCTCTGACGATGGCGTTCGCGAATCATGAACACCACTACATTCATGGTATGACAGGACTCATGCATGCCAGATGGTGTAAGCTGCAACCATCACTGATAGTAGCAATCTCGCCACACGAGGACCAAATCTACATGATTTGAATGCCGCTCCGTGCGCTATAGCTATATTAGCTGCTTTATATTCTTGTTGTATATTTGCCATTTACACTATTAGGAGAAGCTGTTGCTAGGCGCTTAAGATGCCTAGCCGTCAGATATCAGGAAAATGGCGCATTAATGGGGCGCATGTCATCGAAGACGCTGGTCTGACCCATATTAAGCTCTACTCACTACGGTACAAAACTGGTTTACAGTAGCCATATTTATCTAAAGTAGACTAAGAAGTGGTTTAGGTAGAAGAAGTAAACCTAAATAGGGTTTATTATACTATATATTCTATAAAAGTAAACTACTTTTATTTCTACTTCTATTAATCTACTAGTATTACGTAGTAATACCTAGTTTCCTACTATTTAAGTATTTTACCCCTCCTTTCTTTAATCTTCTTCACCACCTCCACTACCTATACTACTACCACCTCCTCCACCACCTCTACTATCACCTCTACCACTACCTCTACCACTACCTCTATCACTACCTCCTATTAGTAGAAATATTATAACTTATTATTATGTTATATATGCGTATAGCGTGAAGCTAATCTTTTCTACCCCTTTTAGTCTTAGTTAGGTATTATAGTATATAATAGAAATAAAACTACTTTTTATACTTAATTTAAACCTCTACTATAAAAGTAAACTACTACTTTAAACCTATTTATAGGTATACATAAGGTTAGTTTACACCTATATAGTAAACCCCTAGCGTACTATTCTACAGTAAACAATTTTTTACCGTAGTAACTCCCAGTCCATAGGCAAGGCGTTTCCTAACAAGGTGGATTTGGGTGACGTTAAAGGTCATCGCGATCAACTTCAGGTCTTTCTGCGGTAAGCATAGTTAAGAGAAGTACTAGGTACGGACAAAGCCATGTAAAACTTAGCAGTGTTGCTACGCGCTATATGTCAACAGTTGAATCCCATGCTGCAAACAACACCTCTGGGCCGCGGTAAAATTCAATTGGAAAAGGCTTCTGTGAAATGTTCCTGTCCGGGATCGCCGAGATTACTACTGGTCGCCTTAGAGTGCATCCTGATCCTGGGGAGAGCCTGTGAGAGCTGTAGATCATGCAAAGATTGTTAGCAACCTTCGTTGGCAGCAACACTACTAAGTACTTGACTAGTTTTAACAGGAAAGCAGTGGTTTAGGGAATATCAAGTCAGGCTCTCTTAGGAGAGAGGGTATCTTGTAAGGTATCTTTACAGTACTGAAGTACACAGAGGCGGATCTCGCGAAAGGAGGCACTTGACGGCAGCGACTTCGTATTAAAAGCTGCACCGAAGGTTGCGTCTCCTTTTCATGCGCGGAAGAACTGTTTCACTAGTTGACCCATTATTACAACGATGTAGGCTTCTTTGATTAAGTTTAAGGGGCAATACTAAGTATATTCACAGTAGGGACCCGTGATACCTTTAAGGTGCGATATTCATGAGGTAGCTGTGGCCTAATGACGAGGATAGTTCAAGAAATATAGAAGAAACTCAGTGTAAGATTCAGTGCCAGTCTATCACGCAAACACAAGTAGAGCTGCAAATTCGCAGTCGAGAGCAATTTAATCACAACATTAATTACGCTGATTCAGATCTAGAACAAACTCCCCGCTCCGCCTGGAATTGATTCCCCGCCTGTGGGGTCTTACAGCACGTGTCCCAATCAGACTGGATTGAATTCAACAGATTTACTGATTCTTGTTCTGTAGCCACATCCCAGCTGCAGTACCGGTAGTTGCCGAGACGCTTGTCTCCCTGTGTCACCTTTCCACCATAACGTTTGGTAGGGCAGCACTGCTCGACTCTAAGGGTAGCCGCGTCCATGTTGTCAGAAGCACAATCGCAACCGACGTTCCATTTCTGTTCATGAGTGAGTATAGATCCGTGTGGATTTCAGATAAAAATTTAAAAGCTGAACTCTTCAGCAAACATACACAGGCAATAGGAGCGACGAATAGGAGGCAGGTAGAAATTGTAAGCTTCATAGCAACGATAGCACCGATATTTTCTAACAGGGCAGCGATGAAAGTGCAATATAAGTTTGGATGTTAACAAAGTAGAGGGGGAAGATAACCAGTGGAAAAGGGGTGATCACGAGCTTAGGAATGATTTGGGAGATTGATCATTTGGTTGTAACTATCAGGATAGAGCTTAAATATATAGATCTTGAGCTCAGTAATCCGCTTGATCTTGATAAGCATACCCTGTGCTCATCGAGCTCGTGTTCTTTTCTGCAACATAACCAAGTTAGAAGTAAAGAGTGAGACAATATTGTAGATAAGCCCTAACTAATATCGGCGTATGTTAAGCTCTTCTGCTCGTATAGGTAATCAAATGAAGGGTATTTTTAGGCAATCTCACTAAAAATCAAACTCCATAACCTGCTTGCTGCTTATCCACGCAATTTGTCTGTAACGTTTAACGCCAAAGATATACGATTCACCATAGTATAGGAGATGCGCACGTCGTGTTGCATTGTTGCTAGCGTCCGTAATACAGCCGTCTCTAAGTTTAGAAAATGAAAAACGCATGGCTAACCAAAATTGGTCCGCCGGCTAGCCAAACTCTAGTAGGGAATACCAAGGCTGCGCGCGGTATACATGTGTTCGCGCAGCGCACGCCTAACTAACATCCTAATTACTATAAATATAAGGTGTGGAAATTTGGATCACTAGCTTAGGAATGATTTGGGAGATGGATCATTAGATTGTATCTACTACGATAGGACATAATATAAATAGAGCTTCAGCTACCCTTACCAGAAGGTGTATGATCGGTAAACCTTCCTTACCAGAGCTCCTTCTTTTGTTAGGCACTTGGCACTGAGCTGGCAGTCGATCAGATAGTGGGTCATACATGGGTATTGACCAGGATTGATCGGGATTGATCGGGATCAAGATGCTCCGTGATCCGGTTGTTATCCCTCCTGCAACAGTTATAATATTTTTGCTAATAGGAGGTGGTAATAATAGAGGTGGTGGTGATAGAGGTGGTGGTGATAGAGGTGGTGGTAGAGGTAGTAGAGGTGGTGGTAGTAATAGAGGTGGTGGTGGAGGTGGTAGTGGTGGTGGTGGAGGTGGTAGTGGTGGTGATAATAGAGGTGGTAGAGGTGGTGGTAGAGGTTTAAAGAAAGGAGGGGTACAGTACTTAAATAGTTAGTAGGAAACTATTTAGTCTATATAATACTAGTGGATTAATAGAAGTAGAATTATAAGTAGTTTACTTTTATAGAATATATAGTATAATAAACCCTATTTAGGTTTACTTCTTCTACCTAAACCACTTCTTAGTCTACTTTAGATAAATATTGCTACTGTAAACTAGTTTTGTACTACAGTAATAGTAGATAAAATTTAATACTCTATCTATAACAAGTGCAAGCACTTGTTCTAGTTCGTATTAGACTAGCTAAGATATTATTCGCCCTAATATAGCTCTAATATAGCTCTAACTATAGTCTAAAGCCCCTCTACCTCTATATATAAAGAAGCCTTATACTTATATATAAATAAGTAAGTTATTCTTATTCGTTTATATTAGACCTATGTAACAAGGTAGGCGCCCTGCCCCTAAAATGAATACTACGTCATCTCCCCTATCTGTACCAATTTGGCCATGGTCCAAAAGGTACGCACGAGAATACTTAAGCTAAGTAATCCTCGCATAGTATAATATATATGTCTTAGCTGAACAGCCTAAGATAATAGTGCTAGACCCTAGCGCCAACCCATGAACCTTGTTCAAGTCTAGCCTAGGCATCTAGTAAGCGCTAGCTATTTTTAGCCTAGCCTTGTTACAACCTATAGGTATAGTAATTAATCCTTTTCTATATAGGTGCGTACTCTTATATACCTTTAAGTTGTATTAGATCACTTTTAGATGCTCTGACCTACCTACGTTTTTATAGTTACCTGTGTGCGTAAGTTACCTATAGGGTACGTTAGCTTAATATCCTTATGCCGCTGGAAGGATACTAACTAGATTACGGAGTATCTTGATCCAATTAACCAATCTAAACCCTAATCAATATCCTTGATCTATACCCTACCTTATCCACTATCTGATCCATTGCCAGCTTACTTGCTAGCTTACTGCTAAGTGCCAAAATAGAAAGGAGCTCTAGTAAGGAAGGTTTACTGAAGCTCTATTTATATAAGTCCTATCGTAGTAGATATAATCTAATAATCCATCCCCCAAATTATTCCTAACCTTAGTGATCCAAATTTCTACAACAATATATAAGATAGAGAATAAAGATAAGTTTTTTATTTATGCCCTAATCTAGGATACTAATATTGCAACAATGATACCTACTTCCCTACTTTGGTATAGGAATAGCAGCAACACAAACACTATGCTTAGTCTCCTTTTCATACCTTAAACAGCAATCTAAAAAGCTAAAGGAATCACGCGAGTGGCGGCAAGCATAGTTGTAAACTACCTCGCCGCTATGTTCTTTGCAGCACCTCTGCGTAGTCTCAAGAGAGTTACAGTTGCAATCCTTTAGATTAGCTAGTGGATCTGGTGTTGGTGTTGGTGTTGGTGTTGGTGTTGGTGTTGGTGTAGGTTTACCAGTAAGGCTCATCGTGGACGATGCTGCTGACGAAGGGTGATTAGGTGCTGGCGATTTAGATGGTACTACGGTAGTTTGATTTCTTAGGTGTTCTTGGTGAAACAAGGCCTTTCTGACCTTAGGACTAAGGCCAATTTGGTCGACAAACTTAGGACCAGACAATCTGGGAAGCGGCGGCCTTGAGCACTGTGAGGGTTGGGGACTCGGCGTTGGGGAAGGAGTCGGAGTCGGAGTCGGCGTTGGGGTGGGTGTTGGCTTATCCTTTTTCACAGGCTCCTCATCTTTATTACCATTTCCCGGGGGTGCAGCACCTGGAGGTTTAGCAGCACCACCTGGCGGCGGGACGATAACAGGAGGGAGTAAGCCGCCGCCTTTATCATGGTGTGCAGGAGGTGAAGAAGAAGCCGGAGGACGATTGACGGGGGGAGAGGGAGTATTGCGGGGCGGGGGAGAACCTGAAGGGGCAGAAGGGTGCGTCGCATTGGTCCCAGGAATCCTGTGGTTCTGTGGAGGTGATGGGTGCGTCGCATTGGTCCCAGGAATTCTGTGGCCATGTCCCCTAATCCTTAGAAACTTTGGTTCAGATGGTCCGGCTGCGTCGCTGCATCGGTGTATAGCGGTGTTAGGGTTGGATGCGACGTATACCGCGAACCAAACGTAATTCTGGGCGTTATTAATCTTCTGCTCAGCTGGCAGGTGACCACATCTAAGCATGGAGAAGAGCGTTATCGTTAGATAGGCTTTACTTTGAGCGAGGAGACTGTGGGGGACTATACTCACTCATAAAACAGATATTCATAATCCTCACACACATTCTCTGCGCCCACAACAGCTCCAAAATGCTGAAACTCATGGAGTAAAGCAAACCCAGCATTAAACTTAACGGTCTGTGTCCTAATGCTTTCGATCAAGTCCTGAAGTGGATCTTGAAAAGTGAAGAAATAAGGACAGAGCAGTAAAACATTTGCATCCCCATCTTCTGTAGAACGATACTCGCTCGCGAGGGCGACTTTGTGAGGTGTGCAATCAGGGACGTCTGGTGCCGTGCATCCAATCACCACGCCGGTTGGATCTATTTCAGCAAAGATATCTTCGGACGTTGTGGGCCTGCGCATGCTCTCGGCCACATTCAGGAAGTGATTTGTTCTAATAGACTCTTTCTTCCCCCTATTTGCTATTAAACGATTAGTGGTTTTCAAATCAGCATTTAAAGCGCGTCAATAACGTACAGTACCCAAACCAGATGTCGAATGCCAGCGAGTTTTCAACATCAGGTCTCTCCAAAACATGAGCGGCGAAATTTGCTAATCGCTGGGCATCACTGAATGCCTGATAGATCATGTTCAACTGATTGTTTGAACACGAAAACTCGTCGTCGGACCCATAGGCTATAGTAAGAGAGGATAGTGCTCGCTTTTGCAGTGGTCTTCCAGGCTCATACTGGGGCGATTTAACGCTAAACACTCCAGTTCCAAAGGCTGCCAACCCGCAAAGGAAGAAGGCTTTAAGGGAAGAAATCGTATGTGGAAACATGGCTGCTTATCACCAGTCTAGGATGCCTCAGGGAGGATGCAGAGGGCCTGACTGATTGCAACAATGGAACCCAACGTAATGCAAAGAGGTCTAGAGTAAAAAGCAATAGAAGTTTTCGAGGACGATGAAAGAGTGCGGTTAATAGGCAAGAGGTTTTGGAGTATGCTAAAGTCCTATTTATCCCTCTCGTCGCAGGTAGGGCAATAACTTCGGTACTGGAAGTCATGTACAGGTGCTTGTTCAAAGCCGCTCACTAGGTTGTATGCACATGTTACAACGCAAATTAACAGGCCGTGAACTTGCGGTTTAGGAATCTTCAATGATCCTGAAATTCCGCGATACATACCCAAGAAGAATATTCGGACCTGTTTGAAACACTAACATGCATAGTTGCCTAATTTACTTGTCTATTTTCTTAATAGGACCAAATATATTAAGAACAATTTAGAACATATGCAATATATTGCGTAACTCCCAACAAACTCCCTATTTTAGGTTATTTTTTGTTACATATAAATAGGGTTTTTGTGCTACACATTATGTTAAAGTATATTAAAACAGAGCAATATTAACGCTACGGCTTATGTTAGAGAGATATTTCGGTGGTAATCTTATAAGACAGCTATAATTGCACCAGGATAAAATAGGAGTACCACTTTATATGCTATATTTAGTGTGAATGTGGTGGTGTTAGGTTTTACGGTTAGTAGAATTGTGACAGATCTGCAGCAACTGTGTGCAGAGACATCCCTAAATTATGGATACTTGGGAATACTTGTTATAATAAAAGACTTCAGAATCTAACCAAATTCATGAGATTTGCAATACAGTGCACCATAATTGTGCTTCTCCTCAAGCCATTACGCTGATTGTAGGAGAATTCACAATGTGTAGTAACACTAGGACATCAGAGAGAAGAAAGGCTGCGAAAATTCACCAATTCGCTCGCTTAATCCTACTCTTTCTTTCTAGTAGTATTAGGAGCACGGTCTATGATGAACGTCTCTTGCGGTGTCCTAAGATGGTGGTAAATTTTACGAGCCGCCTTTACATCTAGGAGATACGTTAACAAGTCCGCGAAAGACCTTTAAAGCTATCCAACTGTAGCATCCTATTATTTAACTGAATGGTGCTCCTTAAATACCATGATGTTTCAAATCTGTACAATTACCGGCAAAATACAATCGTACAGCCTACTCGCAATGTTTCTTGACTGCACAGTTGCAGCAGAACAGTATTGTTGCCCGAAACTTGGTCGGAACTAGAGAGTATTTAATATCTCAAAGCTGACTTAATACTTTGTATGGGATTGAGCCTTTGACAGAGCCATATGTTTTTGTTGGGGTGGGGCGGGGGGAGTGCCAATAATTGCTCTCAACTTGGACCAGCCCATGGGAAGGGACACCAGCTAGCGCAGCCCACCGGATACAGTCTTGAGTCCTGTACCGCACCATGCATCTGTCTTTGATGAATATTTCGTATCCTGACTGATGGTCAAATCGATTGCGATGATGATCGACAATCGTATGGGGGAATAATCATGTTGGAGTGTACCCATCCTGGTTCGAGAGAGCTTGTGACCTACGAACACGATGCGACCAACTGTTTTCGTGATAGTAATGGCGTAGTAGTGTAGAATAAACTTCGGTTTTTGGACTGTAGAAGGAAGATTGAACGAAGTCCAGAGGTCCGGCCTATACAAAAAAGGAAGCAATTGCCCTGCCAATTACACATTCGGACATACAGCACCACTTGTACGTTTGGAATCTTCCGATTGAGATGCTTATTATGAAGCTGCAAGTGGCAGTCGCGCTTTTTGCATATATACAATCATCTTCTGGGCTGCTTGACAATAACGCGCTGTCATTAACATACTTTGGCAAGTACGCGCCAAGGTACATCACCCGCATACCAATTTTTCGAATCCAGCAATCAACAACTCACCGACTTATATTACTACCGCTGGAAGATCTTTCGTACCCATCAGTGAGACCTGGGTTCGAATGGTTTCATTTCTACCGAGTTCCTTGATGACCTGGGTTGGCAAACCAAGCCATGGGCATCTCTTAACGATGCTACTGGCTTCCATCTGCTCGAAGGTCGCTGGTGTCACGATCGCCAATACAAAGAAGATTATGCAACGTCCATGTACAGCTCCAACAGCAATACGCGACAATTCTCGGAAAGCATGGCTGTGGCAAGGATATCTGATAGACGGTGTTGCAGCAGATGCGACGGCTCGCCTCGATGCTATGGAGAATGTCTTCAACGCGTGGCAGGACTCGCTCGACCCTTCAAAGGGTCTCTACTGGGTGGAACCTCTGCGAGATGCAACAGAATACAGAATACACAATCTTGAGTATTGACGCGACGAATGACAAAGATGGATTTGGGGGTGGCCAGTCCTTCCGTCCAATATGCGAATGCCAAAGCAATCGCCAGCCTTGCGGCACTCAAAGGCGGTTTGGCCAGCACGGTTACCGACTTAACGTGATCCACCACCGAGCGCCCACCCCCACCGAGCGCCCACCAACACCAAAATCCACCACCCACTAAATGAGGATATTGCGCCACCCACAATAGCTATTATCACGAGATTTCTTAGAGTCGCGATTATTAGATCTATTAGAGTAGATTAAATATTTTAGATTATGTAAGCAGCTTTTTAGGGGGTCTAATTAGGCGCCCACGCTATAAAGTTGCCTCTACTACTATATCCTCTTCTACTAGCTCCTTATTAACCACCTTAGCTAGTATAATAGTAGGAGGCTTAAGGATTTGCCTCTTGCCTATTTAGGACGTTTTAATATTATTTTAGAGTTACTTTTCTAGTTACTTAGTAGTTTTCTACTTATTACGTGCAGCAGCTTTTTAGGTAGCTTTCTCCTCCTGCTCCTTCTTAGTAATTGCTTAATTTAGGCAACACTCCTCTATAAGTTAAGCTTTAGCAAGCTTCTATTACTTATAAAGCTTAATTACCTTACTTTTTTAGTATTATAGCTCCTATTCTTTAAGGTTCTTTTACTCCTAGAGCTTAAATACTTGCTCTACCTTTAATAGTAAAATAAATTAGGCACTACTACTATAATTATTATTAGGGGGTAATAATAAAGGTTTACCACGCTTCCTACGCTTCTTCTTATTAGCTAGGGTAGCCCTTAGGTGTTTATTTTTGTGGTTAAGTAGAGTATTTCTTACTAATATAGTGTAGATTATCTAGCTAAGCTTCTTTAACTATTTATTAGAGATATTAATTATAGTATTATAGAGTAACTACTCTATCTTTCTCTATGTAACAATAAGGCAGAATTGCCTGCCCATTGTTCTATGCCAAGTTAGGCCTAATAAAGGCCCGACTTACTGATGTATATAGAGAACAGCTCGCCTATAGTTAGGATAGGCATGTTCTTCTTGTCCTTTCGTACAAGACCTATAGGTGTAGGAATCTTATCCTTTTCTATATAGACGCGCACTCCTATATGCCTTTAAGTTGTATAGGATACCTTTTAGATGCCTTACCTACCTAAGTTGTTATATTATAAGAAGAATATTATCCTAGCTAGTAATAGTATTTAAGAATATCGCACTTGTTGTTATTTTAAGCTACTAATTTAGTTCTAGTAGCTACCTAACCCTGCAACTCTATAGTTAGAATAGCTATTAGAACTTCTAACGACCAAAGCCTATAGGCTTGGACCTCTAGACCTATAGGTGGTGCTAGATTACCTTTAGAAAAATCGCGTTAGATTGCGTTAAGGTAGAGACCTAGAGACTACTAAAAGCCTAGAGGAATTAGAGGCAAAGCTAATATCCTCCTATAACCAAACCCCCTAAAAGAAAAGAAAAGATTTGTTGTTCTTATTAACTACAAAATGTTAGACAAGGGTAAAGGAAGGGCCTCTAGTTTAGCCACTTTTAAAAGCCTATTTACTAATAGAAAGAAATTAGATAAGGAAGACTTGATTAACAACGCCCTCCTTAAAGGACCTGCTTCCTATCTGTCTCTTAAGGTACCTTGTGCTCCTAGGAAATCTTAAAGCAACACCTCCCTTAAAGATAAATACATATTAACCCTATCTAAAAAGGAGAGGTTAGAGGAATAAGTTAAGTAACTTACTAATTAGTTATACAACACCTCCCTCTGTAAGGAGATATAGGGTACTACCTAACCTAGCTAGTCTTTAGCTTCTATATTAAACCCTATAGTATATACTATAAAAGCTAAGAGATAATCTAAAAAGACGCTAAATATCTCTATACTTAGTAATAGTGCTAATCCTACTTTTAGATAATAGCAAGCATCTATTTAGGATAGGCTAGAGATTAACGCTAATTACTACCCCTCTTCTAGAGCTTAGATAGCGTTAGTCTAGGGACACTGCTTAGGACTAGTAAGAGAATACTTAGAGCCACGTTACCTATCTAATTCCCTAAGCCTTTAGTTCTAAAAAGCTAAGGAAATAATTACCCTCCTTTAAACCTACTTTATTACTAGAAATAAGATAGCTAAGAGTTAGACTATATTTAACTGCCTGTACATAACTAATATAGAGACGTTCCCTGCCTTTAAGTTATAATTCTAGAGTCTTGCTATTAAAGGAGAAGTACCCTAATTAGAGTAGTATTACTACCTCTAGATAAAGATTACACCTTCCCTAAGGATGCTAAACCTTGCTTTCTAACAGAATTAGCATAATAATTTCAAGACTATAGTGGATTATCTTACCACTTTTAATATAGAACGCCGCCTATACCCTACCTTGTCTACTCCTACCTAGACTACCCTATTATCTAGAAAAGGACTAACTCCTTTCTAACACTCTAGAAACTAGTCCTATTTAGACGCTAATTAGAAACCCTATAATAGACCTTTAATAGCTAAACCCTATATGCCCTATTTGCAATAATAAGGCACTACCCCTTAAAATAATTAACCCCTATCTACTACGCTAGCTACTCCTAGCGCTACTACAACAGGAATCCTAGTAACTTGCTATAATTATAGAAAGCCTAGGCACTTCTCTAGTAACTGCCCTAAACCCCCTAGGATTTAGGCTATAGATATAGAATAGGGTGTTAAGAATTCTAAGGAAGAAGAAACTACTAAATTAACCAATTTAGATAGCTATTAGACAGGAAACAACAACGCCTAGGAGGATCCTCCTTCCTAGGCCTAACTTAATATAACCTGTTAAACCTTTCCTTAACTAAATTGTTTGTTAGTTCCTACTTGCTTGCACGTATAACCCTGTGCCTTAACAGATCTAGTGTTTGCCTAAACGCTTTAGTAGATACTAGGGCCTAAGGTTACTTATTTCTTAATTCAAAAATTGCTTATAATATCTCTTCTACGCTTAGGGTACCTATCTAAAAGCTACTATACAAGCTTACTATTAAAGGGTTCTAGGATTAGATTACCTCCCTAGTTACTTACTATATTTGGCTTTACATAATAGTTAGTAGCTAAAAGGTTCACAACTACCCCTTTATAATAGTAGACTTAGGTTCTTAGGATTGTATTATTAGATAACACTAGCTAAAATAGTTCTAAATCCTAATTAATACGGATAAATCTTAACTAATCTAGCTAGAGAAATATCCTCTAACCTATAACCCCGCTTCTCTAATTCTGGTACGACTCCACTAGCAAGTGCTATCTACTCTAGTTACCTACAATATCTTGCGAAGAGACGCCCTTTAGGATTAAGAGGAGAACTAGAACTAAAATAGTCCTAGTTTAATTAACAGGATACGTGGTATACTTAAAATTCTAGCCACTTATAGGGCTACTACCAAACCTATTACGCTACCTACCCTAGTCTGATCGCTAACTGTTACCCTACCCGCAAAATTTCAAATTGCTACTATTTCTGCTAATGCTTTCTATTTTAATATAAAAAAATCTTCTAATAAATTCTTCACTACTAGCCTGTATAAGATTAAGCGTAGGATCTAAACCCTATCTAAACAGGATACTCTTGAATATAGCTTGTTAGATTAGAAGCTCCTATCTAACTATAACTCCTATTAGGACGTCTTTAACAAGGCTAAGGCTAATAAACTTCTAATTTACTAGCCTTACAACTATAAGATAGTCCTAGAGGAACCCCTTCTAAACTACTAGAGTCCCCTCTATTATTAAAATGCTAAGGAACTCTAGGCTACTAAGGAATATATACAAGAGCACCTATAGAAAGGTTTTATTAAGACTAGTTAGAGCCTATTTACCTCTCCTATCCTGTGTGTTAAGAAGCCAAATAGAGGCCTTAGGATCTGTGTGGATTACTATAAGCTTAATAGCTTAACGTAAAAGGACGTGTATCTAATACCCTGCATAGACAATCTATTATCCTAGCTAGCTAAAGTAAAAATCTTTACTAAGCTAGATATTTGTGCTGCCTTTAATAAGATCTAAATAGACCCTAACTTAGAGGAGTACACCACTTTCCGCACTAGGTATAGTGCCTACAAATGCAAAGTCCTACTATTTAGGCTATGTAACAGACCTGTAACCTATTAGCAGTATATAAATAATATACTAATAGATTATTTAGATAACTTCTGCATTACCTATCTAGATAATATCCTAATCTACTCTAAAAACCTTACTACTTATAAGGACTATATTAAAAAAGTCCTTAAGCGTCTTTGTTCTGCTAGATTATAGGCTAATATTAAGAAAAGCGAATTCTATATAACCTAGACCTGTTACCTTAGCTATATCCTAACTAACAAAGGCTTAGAGGTGGACCCTAACAAAGTTAAAGTACTCTGAAACTAGTCCACTCCTAAGACGATAACTAGAGTAAAGTCCTTCCTAGGATTTACTAGATTCTACTAGCAATTTGTAGAAAACTTCTCTAAGATAGCTAAGCCCTTAACTGCCCTCTAGAGTCCTGCTACCCTATTTGTATAGACTTTGGAATACTAACAAGCCTTTAACTAGCTTAGGAATGCCCTGCTAGTAATCCTAAGCTTAGCTTACTTCTATCCTAAGTACCCTCTAAAACTAGAGATAGACGCCTCTAATAGAGTTATTACAGCTGTCCTCTTATAGGAGTATCCTAATAGGAAATAGTACCCTGTATCCTTCTTTAGTTAGACCCTTACTAGTTCTAAACTTAATTAGGAAATCTATAACAAAGAATTGTTTGCAATAATCTGCGCCTTTAAGAAATAGCGTGCTAACCTAATAAGTACTTAGTACCTTATTAGAGTATACACAGACTATAGAGCACTAGAGTACTTTATATCTACTAAAGTCCTTAGTGCTAGGTAAGCTAGATAGCTAGAGGTTATAAGTCCCTTTAACTTCTAAATTAAGTATACTCCTAGATCTTACAACGCCTAAGCGGATATCCTAAGT